TTGTAGAGGACAGTCCTCTGCTTTGGGACTGGGGAATCTTTGGTGACCTAGGAGCCAAAATCCAATTTGGAATTAGGCTTGGGGACCACAGTCTAGCATTAGAAGGAGCTAAGTATACAGAGCAGGGCAAAGCAACATGGAATAGAACCAGGTGCGATTTTTGACAATTTGGACATTTACGCACCAAACATAGTATTCAGCAGTTGTGCAGAAGTCCCCATTCAGCTGTCAGGGTTCTTCCAGAAGCTTTGGGAAGCAGAATAGCTGACAAACGTCTGAGGATAAAGAGGGTGCGCCATGTATGATGCTCATTAGTCTAAGAGAGAGCTGATGGTTGAAGAGCTTATATAACAAAGAAGCCCAGCATCTCAAGGCTTCCACGTTGCCCATTAAAAACAGTTGAACATCAGGGAGAGCTAGATAAGGATCTATTAATCATGTGCATGTTGACACCAAAGCCTCTGTGGGAGACAAGGCAGAAATTCATCTCTCACCTGCTATCCATACTACCCGAAGATTATGAGACCTTTGATGAACAGGCTGTCGACAGCCATGCCTCTGCCTACTTGGTCCTGAGAAGGCGATTGATTCATCAGACTGGACTAACAGTCTGACCCACTAATGGCATGATCACTACAAAGTGTTGGTGGAATACGTTAAGGAACATGGCCCTATTGGAGAAAACCAGCAGGTAAAGGTGAAGGGAATATTCCACTCTGCAACCAAGTCTTGAGCTTTGATGACCTTTTATTGCATACATAAACCAAATAAAGCAGACATAATTCTCCAAGCAAACATATCAATTTGTGCAAACTTGGACTGCACAATGTGGCTCACCTGAAATGTTTGATGTGATTTAGGAAACCCCTGACAAAAAGTTTAGATTTGTGTAGTGTTTATATACTGTATTTGCTGGCGTATAAGACGACTGGGCATAAAAGATGACCCCCCAACATTTCCACTCAAAATATAGAGTTTGTTATATACTCGCTGTATAAGACTACTCCCTCTTCTGCACACCTTCCACACACCAAATAAAAGGTGCTATTCATTGTCACCATTGTGCGGCCACAGCACGACTGCAGCGCCTCCAGCCTACCCCTGTATGTCCCTGTGACCAGCACTAGTGCGCAAGTGTGCATGTGTGAGCTCTGCGTAGACAAGGGGCAGGCCGGAGCGCCACTGCTTCCCGCCGAGCAGAATGGGCTGGTCACGTCAAAAAAGCTGGCACCCCGTCTTGCCGCTGATGCTCGCCGCGGCCGCGCTGGATACCGCATGATACTGGACGGTATGTAGAATGAGGTGGGCAGGCATCGAGAGGCTACTATGGGCAGCTATGTCTATCCCAACTGAAGTGCACCCGGCGTATAAGACGACCCCCCCCCACTTGGAGGCATGTTTTTCAAGGCAAAAAAGTAGTCTTATACGCCAGCAAATACAGTATTTTAGTTGTTTCTTGTTTCCTGTTATTGAATGACAAGGAGACTGAATTCAGAACACCTCAAGCAATGAAGTGACTGCATGTAGAATGTCTGATCTTTTCCATGTCATCTACGACTAGGTTGAGCCGCCACTTGCCTTCGGACATTGCTGGCTCTCCTTATGAAAGCTTCCTTGAGAGTAGCTCATTGATCGGAATTTGGTGTGTGAGGGAGAGCTGTGTAAAATTAAAAAGAGTTCAGAATGCAAATAAGTTGTATAGCTGCTGGGTGCAAAAGACAGAATGTCCTTTCCAACTTTGTCTTTTGCAAAAATTATTTATATGGAGAGGGATAAGGATCAAAACAAAATATTTAGCCATTTTTTTAAAAAAGGGTGTGTGTGAACTACATTAGCACCCTAACTGTGTAATGTATCTTGTGATAAAGAGGTACATACACACCTCGCCAAACAAGACTGTGAAAGAATATTGCAGACACATAGCTTTAGCACAGCATTCTCGAATACTGTATGGCTTGTTGTGTTCGCATAACAGGTTGTATTCTTCTGCCAGTTAAGAAGAATTACATTCTTCTGCTACATCATTCATCTCTTGCCGTTTTTCTTTCTTGGCCACAGTACCTTGGATTTAGTCCTTCCCTTTCATCCAATACATTGCTCTCGTAATAATATTCATTAGTGTTTCCGAGAGTCCCTCAGATTTTCAGCATTGCCCAGTGTGTAAAAGTAAATAGTGCCATTCCACCCCACTCCACTCCACTCCTCCCACTGCCCTGGCCACAGTATGTATGAGACTGGCCCTGTTATTTTCACTCCTGGGGCAGAAAATCCTACCAAAAAATCCCTTGAGGAGTCAGAACAAAATATAGAATAGTTTATTGCCCTTGTGGGGGAATCCCCAATGAGGTGCCTTGCTACCTATGTGCTCAGGAGGAAAAAAATGAGGTTAATCTTATACCAAATGATGGAAGGACACCATAGACTACACACTGCCTCAGAGACTGACTGCTGATTTCTTCAGGCAGCTCTTTTGCTCTCACAATCTCTGGCATTTGTACTCTCTACCAATGGCTTTGACCCTACACAACATTGCAACCATTTCCTCACAACCTGATAATTAAGAAATGTGGTTTTCATTGATTTTCCATTGCTTTAGAACAATGCAGCTCTGTGCTGTGGTTGAGAGGAACATTTCATAAATAAAGGCAAGCAAGTCTCCTTCGCAACATGAAGTAAGCCTTGTCAACATGGGACTTGCACAGCATATTTTTTTTAAAAAAAATGCAAATAAGCATCCCCGCACATCACAAGTAAAGAAAGGATGGGAGTAGAAGGCATGCCCCATATTAAAAATGGAAATATTTCCCTAATTTCTTTTCACTTTGCATTAATTAAGCTAGAAGGTTCCATTAACATGGATTTGAACTGTTCACATGCCATTTTTTATGGAATATACTTGTCCCCCTAATATTCTCCTCTAGTTCTTTGGTGGGATATATTTTCCTTTCTGATCATACAGGTATTCACTTTTGCTCTAAATTTTGCCGGTGTTTCCATGTTCAAGTCTGATAGTGGTGACCACGATTTCCCCATCCGATAGATAATTTTCCTTCTTGAACAGACATTATAGGACTGCTGTATCTGTCATGTTGTGATAGCTGCCCTATTTCGATAACTATAGATGAAAAATTAAACATTTAATCAGCCAATACATTTATATACAATACATAGCAGATATTTGTTGTTGTTTAGTCGTACCCAACTCTTCGTGACCCCATGAACCAGAGCATGCCAGGCCCTCCTGTCTTCCACTGCCTCCCGGAATTGTGTCAAATTCATGTTGGTCGCTTCAATGACATTGTCCAACCATCTCGTCCTCTGTCATCCCCTTCTCCTCTTGCCTTCACACTTTCCCAACATCAGGGTCTTTTCCAGGGAATCTTCTCTTCTCATGACATGGCCAAAGTATTGGAGCCTTAGCTTCAGGATCTGTCCTTCCAGTGAGCACTCAGGGTTGATTTCTTTCAAAATGGATAGGTTTGTTCTCTTTGCGGTCCAGGGGACTCTCAAGAGTCTCCTCCAGCACTACAATTCAAAAGCATCAATTCTTAGGCCGTCAGCCTTCTTTATGATCCAGCTCTCACTTCCATATATCACTACAGCAAAAACCGTATCTTGGACTATGCGGATCTTTGTTGGCAAAGTGATGTCTCTGCTTTTCAAGATGCTGTTGAGGTTTGTCATCACTTACCTCCCAAGAAGCAGGCGTCTTTTAATTTCATGGCTGCTGTCACCATCTACAGTGATCATGGAGCCCAAGAAGGTGAACTCTGTCACTGCCTCCATGTCTTCCCCTTCTATTTGCCAGGAGGTGATGGGACCAGTGGCCATGATCTTAGTTTTTTTTGATGTTGAGCTTCAGACCATTTTTGCACTCTCCTCTTTCCCCCTCATTAAGAGGTTCTTGAATTCCTCCTCACTTTCTGCCATCAGAGTGGTATCATCTGCATTAACAGATATTAGGATAGGCAATATCCCTACAATTTCACTGACTTTTTGAGATCGTTTAAACTGGCCAAAGAAAGACAGTGAATTTTGTGTGTGAGTGCTGGATGTGAAAGAATAGTTGCAAACAGGCAAAAGAAGAAGAGGAGGAAGAAGAGAAGGAGGAGAAGCAGAAATGACTGCTACATCTCAGTCATTTCTAAATGTTTTTTCCTGACATCAAAGGGGAGCAAAACAGTAAATGATAGCAATCAACCGTCTGGTTTTAAGATCAAGTAAGTTCTTTCAAATCAGTTTTCCAAAATAAGAGTGAGGATTGTCTTATTGTTAAGGAATAGGACAATTTTTGCCAAAATTGTTCCAAATTCTGAGTAGTAATACCTAGGCGGTGGTCTCACATTGATATATCACACTCCCACAACACTCCCCAGCACAAAAAAGCAAAGCCTCTACTAATTAGTTTATTTAGTAAAAAAAGTACACTATAAAAATACAGATCATGATATCTTTAACAAAAGAAGAGTACATCTGGAAACCAGAATAGGTCCAGTTGACTCCAGTGTCACATGAGAATTCTTATCACTTCCTATCTTTCTGAAAAGAAAAATGCATCATGCCACAGATCAGCATATGAACACTTCAGAGAAACAAAAGCAAAGAGAAAACAGTACCTCCTACCCACGGAGTCAAAATATACTTTCATTAATGCACTATACTGACTTCACCTTGAAGCAAAACTTGGAAAAGTTGCTCTTTTTTGTTTTTACTACAAATACCAGAATCCTCCACCAGCATGGCCACTGACCACATTGCCTAGATGATTCTGGGAGCTAGAGTTTAAAAAAAAGGAACTTGTGTAAGCACTTTAGAAGTAATGTTTGCAATTTTATTCCAGGGATGAGTGACTACTCAGCTCTATCAAAGAGATATGCAAGGAAGCAGAGAAGCGTTGGCTCCAGTCTATGATTTACCCCAGAAATATTCTACATAAGACATACTATCTCTGTCTCCCAGTTCCTTCTCTTAGTGTCAGTCTGCCATATGGATCTAGGCCTTTAGACCTTGCGGAGGATGAGCACAACAGAAATGGGCACAAGGCAAACAGACAAGAAAATCAAGATTGCAACTGTTCCTGTGTGTGGCTGATGGTCAGGGGCACTAGTGCTAGGCAAGGAGCAGTTGGTGAAGTACTCAGCATGGATTCTCATGAAGAAGGCATCCAGGGTGGAGCTTGACATGGGGCAGCCCATACCTGCTGCCACTAGTCCTGTACAGAGGGCAAGTTCACCATACACGCTGTAGAGAGAGAGAAGTTGAGATAGTTGTGAAGGACACCACACACAAGAGCTGCTCGACTAAATAAGGATGTAAATTCTCACTTGTTACAAGCAAGGAGGAGCCACTGCACAATGGTTCTCCACACCCTGCAAGAGGATGAAATATTTCCCGGTACTTCCAACAAAAATGCTCACATTGGTGAAATCAGTTTTTGTGCAAATTGCTCAGTTCTACAAACCTACAATAACTAATCATTGCTTGCATGGACTTACACAGATCAGACACATTGAATGGGCTGTTTTTGACTATTTGAACAATCAGCCAATTATTCTGTGCTTAATTTCTGTGTGTGCAAAGCTTGCTTCTGGTCTAGTTTGACTCTTTGATTATTTACATTTTGAACATTATTTTATATGGGTGAGTTTTTTGTTTCGTTTTGTTATTTGTATATATGAAAAAGAAAAATGAATATGGTGTTATTAAAAAGCACTGCTTGAGCTAGTGGGAACTAGCTCTGCTCCAAGACAGACATCTATACCTGCCAATCATTTCCCAGAGGCACCGACTGCTGTCATCTATAGCCATGAGGGCAGCATGAAATTTGGGCCAGCAGTATAAGGCTATCCGATCATAGTAGGCATCTCCACAGTGACTGCCTTGGTCCTCCTCTTCAAACAACTCTAGCAATAGAAGGAAAGATAAGCTTCAGAAAAAAAGGGGAAACTGCATGAAGAAATGAAGATACCATACAATGCTACTGGGTATATGCTTTGTATATTTTTTTTGTGACCAACATTCTGAAACAATGCTATCAGCTTCAGAATAAAAGGGGAAACTGCATGAAGAAGTGAAGATACCATACAATGCTGCTGGGTATATGCTTTGTATATTTTTTGTGACCAACATTCTGAAACAATGCTTCATCTGCAGAGTTCTTGCTTGCATACCTAGGAAAAACTGGGTGTCTCAAGCACATTTCTTGCCTGTGATCGGAGGGTTGGGCACTATGATATTGAGATTTCTTTGCGGACAACAACTGCTGTATTATGAGTGAAAAGAAAAGGTGTTTTTTTTTAAAGAGGATATAAGAAAAGCCATAATGGAACAGATTAATGGCACAATATCTACTTCAAAGTAAATCACAGTGCATTAAATAAGGCTTTTAGGATTTTTTGGATTAGGCCTCCTTCAGTCTTGAGACACTATGGTAACCTGCTCTGAATGGAGGACTTGGAACAGCGTCTAGCGTGTCTGAGAAGGCCAATTCTAGAATGACAATTCCTTCCACACTGAAGACAAATATAGTCTGTCCCCTGTCCAGCTACTGTACCTGATTTTGCTGGTTTCAGGAGGAAAATAAGCCAATAAAGCTTATTTTCAGGTAAGTGTACAGGATCACAGACAACAAGCCTGTTATATCGCTGAACGTGAAGACAGTGAACCCATATTTTCCTAGCCAATGTAGGTTTTACATAGAAACTGCAAAGAGAATTAAGTAGCATGAAAACACCTCAGGTAGTCAATGTCATATGTGAAAACTGACAATAGTATAGAGGGACCCTAGACCTAGCTTGGAAAGTTTATTTTTAAAACTAATTCATTATATTTAGTAATTGCTTGGTTCTATTAATTTGCTGGTGTAAATTAATACATCAGGAAAAGTAATCCATTTCTGCTACTCATGTTATTTGTGAAACATTGGATAATTCTGTCCTCATTACCAAAAGGTATGAAGGTGCAGATAATGGTTATTTGTAGCTCTTTCAAGCTCTGGCTGCAGATGTAGCTGAGATAGGGACAAAGCAGACAACTTTATAATGCAAATCTTATAAAGAAGAAAACAGGAGTTAATATAGGACTGTGTTTCTTCTGATATGAGAGTCCCCATTATGTGACACTTGGCAAAGATTATGAAGTGGGGGAAAAATTTGCTCACCTTCTTCATCTGGATACAAGTAGGAGACTAAAAAAGAAAGACAAATGTTAGCAGTGGTGCAGCAGTAAATTCAGAAATGCAGGTGCTCATCCTGGCAGTCCCCACAGTCACCTTGCCTCAGGGAAAGTCCAAAAACACTTCATCCGTCCATAACAACAAATAAGGAGCATGTCTTCCGTAAGCTAATGCCCCCTAAGTCCCCATTTAAGACCAAATTATCCTCAAAAAGTTGATGAGAAATAAAAGTCCCCTCTCTCGCAGGAACGGAATCGTGCTGCATGCCTTCTCTGTTGTAATGCAGAGCTGGCACTTAGCACTCTTCTGTTCCTGGGGAAAATATATTTATTTCCCATGAATTTTGCAACTAAGTTCAGAGAGAAAAAGGCAGCTTAAGAGGATTGGGTGATGACAGATGATATCATAGGCCCCGCTACCCAAAAAGTCAACCCTGCATGCCCTGGATCTGCTATATCACTATATGTTACTTTGGAAAAGTCAAAGGGATAAGTAACAGTGATGAGACAGACTTAGACAAGGTCCCTCAATCACCACTCTTATCTTCTTGGAGAAAAGCCCCATATGATTTGTTTACTCTCTTGTTAAGTTGGATCCAGATTCAATCATACTGAATAACAGATTAATTAAAATAACTGGGTTTAGTCTCAATAAAATGTATCTAGCCTCTTTGTAATCCAGCTGTTGGCTTTCGAATTGACACAAGCTCAGAGGGAGGGCAACAGCACACTTGATTTTGCCATAGTGGACTATCAGACTGAAAATGCATCTAGCATAACACTTTATCTCCAACAGACAACAAACGGATGTTACCTTGTCAGATGCTCCTAATGAAAATATGATGGACAAATATTATGCTGGCTCAAATTTAAGCTCTTCTAGGGAAAGGCTCTCTCTGGGGAGACATTAATAGACATTCTCCAAGAAATTTAAAAATCTTCTTAAAAGTAATGTATGCTGGTGAACATCAAAATGTCCTAGGCTAAGGACTTCTGGGCAATGGCCTTTTTGTTCATCCTGATAGTGACATCAGTCAAATTTATACTGGCTAAAACAAGTTTTATTATTTTTTTAAAAAGGAATAAATATTTGTCTTGTTCAGCTCCCTCCACATAAGCTCAGAATGATTTTATCTAAGGGTCTTGTTCCTTTCAAGGATCCTATCGTGCAAAATTCAGAACATCTACTTCACCTAAAGCATCTGAATCCAAAAACTTGGGCAGTTTTGAGATCCCTAGAGATCTAGCCATGTAGTTTTGCCTGATTCTTAATTAGTTCAGTTTATGTCTGCCTTTCTACAATATAGTGACAACACTGCCATCATCAACACAAGAACAGAACATATGTTTAAAATCTATAGCAATATAATAAAAAAAGAAAGGAGATAGAACTTGTTTAAATACACAAATGATGAGAGGGAGAAAGAGAGAGAGGAGGCCAAGCACGCCTTATAGGAAGGGCCTCCCAAATCTCTGGCACAGTCACTGAGAGGGCTCTCTCCTGTCTGTTTCAAAGAAACATTTGCACAGTTTCAGGCAGTGGTGCTGGTACTTCAGGGCATATGGGAATCTGTACTACCATAGTCTCAGGTTATATTCAACCAGCCGCTTTATCAGAGATAACAGCCTCACATGTGTTTCCCTCCTCTGAACCCCTGGCCTCCTCACATTCTGTGTGTTTGTGTGGTATATAAAAAAGAAACAAAGTCAAGGAGGGAGAAACAAGGAAGCCTGGGTGTGCTCACCACTGGCTGCTCCACCTTCTACCCTAACAACCGCAATGGCCAGCAACCATTCAGAATTCGGAAAAAAAACTGTGGGAAAATGCCATAGAAAGTGAGGGAAAGACAGTAGCGTACATTCAGCACAATTGCTTGTTCCCACAGCATAAATACAAATGTTTATCTTACTGTCATCTTCAAAGTTGCTGTAGGTCCGTACTATGCACCCTAAAGAAAAGAAGAAATGGTTTAGTACAGGGAAAATATGACAATTCACACTGGCCTTCCCTTCCATAATGCAACCCCACTCTAAGGTGCTGCTTTGGAAAGATATTTTGGACTCCCAAGTTCCAAAATCCCCAGCCAGCATGGCCATGGGTGGGAATCTGGGGGTTGTAGTTTTTAAAAAGGTAGTTCTTCTTAAGCTCTGCCCTGAACTCGTCCTTTCTAAGAATGCCCCCCTCAGAGCACCACAGCTTGGAGAGGTGAGGAAAAAAAGAAGAGAAAGAAAGAATCTGGAAGCAATAAAAGGAAAGCTATCTGAGGGCTCCCTGGGACTGGTCCTTCGTAATTCAAAGGCTGCTCCATTCTCGTGTATGTTTGTGCAGCTGCTGGAAAGGGAAGGGGCTCCTTCACTCTTCTTTGTTTAGATTACTTTGAACCAGCTCCAGTTACAGCAGGGAGCTTCCTTGCCCTTCACCCTGCCCCATTTGTTACCCCAGATCCATAGCACACAGTCCCACAAGTTAAGCTGGAAGTAGGTACCGTAGTTCTTTACCAACCATCCACAAACACAAGGTTGTCATAAAGCCCAAGGCTGATTGTGTCAATTACTGGAAGAATGTAACTGAATCTAGTAAGAAGAATAACTGAACCAACAGGGCATGTGTTTGTGCCAATTGAAATCCTCTGTGCTAAACATTGGCAGATGTAAGCCCAATACCCTAAAGAAAATGCCAACCTTGCATTTCTGCTCCCATGCAAAAACTGACTTCACATGTTTAAATGGGGGGCGGGGGAGCTCTTTGAGAAAGACATATGTTTATGATAATTTGTTCCAAATGTTTGCTAGAATAGAATCAAAGCTTAACAATTGTGCGGGCTCCATTCTCGTGTATGTTTGTGCAGCTGCTGGAAAGGGAAGGGGCTCCTTCACTCTTCTTTGTTTAGATTACTTTGAACCAGCTCCAGTTACAGCAGGGAGCTTCCTTGCCCTTCACCCTGCCCCACTTGTTACCCCAGATCCACAGCACACAGTCCCACAAGTTAAGCTGGAAGTAGGTACCGTAGTTCTTTACCAACCATCCACAAACACAAGGTTGTCATAAAGCCCAAGGCTGATTGTGTCAATTACTGGAAGAATGTAACTGAATCTAGTAAGAAGAATAACTGAACCAACAGGGCATGTGTTTGTGCCAATTGAAATCCTCTGTGCTAAACATTGGCAGATGTAAGCCCAATACCCACCCCCTCCAAGATAAAGAAAATGCCAACCTTGCATTTCTGCTCCCATGCAAAAACTGACTTCACATGTTTAAATGGGGGGGGGGAGCTCTTTGAGAAAGACGTATGTTTATGGTAATTTGTTCCAAATGTTTGCTACAATAGAATCAAAGCTTAACAATTGTGCGGGCTTCTACTCAGGAGCATGGAAAAATTACATTTAGAGCTACAACATTCAAAACGTTGACTGCGGACTTCAGTGACCTGTAGTCCCCAAAAAAGGAACTTATTGTGCCATCGCACAGTTTCAGTTTTATGGCTGTGGATGTGTGAGGGAAGGGGAACAGATCTCAAGGAATCACAAACATGAAAGCTCAAGAAGATTTACCCCACCCACCCCTTTTATTTTTCTTTTTGAGGCCACTGTTCCCAACTTAGTGTTCTATGACAGCTGCAAATGCTCCCAGGCAACATGACCGGGTGACTAGAGGAGGATGCTTGAAGGCACCTCTTATTGCTGCTGTTATTATTAGACAGAGCCAGAACTTTAGTCGGTTAGTAGAAATCAGAGTTCAGAAAATGTGTCCACTCCACTGCCTGCAAACCTGTTTATTTACTAGAGCTTATCTCCACTTGCTATGTCCCTGCTGGGAGGACCTTTTATGAATGAGGATCCAGAGCTTCTGGGGCAGATGGAAGAGAGAAGCAGATTGCCTCTGAAGACCCCAGGCCATTGGAAAGGGTTGCAGAACACCTTCCTAAAGAGATGAGAACCTCAGAGTCGAAGTCAGAGGAGAAAGAAGAAACAGGTTCTCTTTCCCACCCAAAAAAAAGGATGCCCCCAAGAGTCACAAATGAGGCAAGAGGTGACTCAGCAAAGTGCCCATTATAAGGTGAGGCCCCTGTGAGAATAGAAGGCTTCTTATAAGTAGGGGTCTCATTAAGAGGACACTCTCCCCTGGATATCTTGTGCTGAAAGGCTTATAGCTGAGTCATGGATAGCCAGCTCAGCTTCAAAAGCTTAGTTTAAACCCAGATTGGAGAAACAAATTCGGAAATACTGTCTCATTCTGCCCAACCCTATTTCGAGGACTTCTACTTGCTGCTTTGCCATTGATTCCCTGGTTGATATCTTACTGTACCTCGTGTTTCTCCTTGTTGTCCTTCTGTTTGTCTTTGCTGTCTGCTGATTAGAGCTGGAACTACATGTTGCTAATAACCCACAGTACACTTGTTGCTGCAGGTGATTTACAAACTGGAGTGAGACTGCGCCAATTACTCTCCTGTTCTAATGTGGTGAATACAGAGCTGCTGACTACCTTTCCGAGAAAAAGAAAGCTAGCCAGTAGCCTCTCAGCACTGGCTGGGTGGCAACATTATTTTGGCCTAGGAGATCAACTTCAACGACTCCATTTTCACCACACATGGAGCAGGTGAAGACTTTGCTGCCCTTTCCACCAAACAGGGCTTGCTTATCCCAGGGTGGCTGAAAGGTGGCAGTCAGGAACCCCGTGTTGGTAGCAGCAGCAGCAGCAGCAGTCTCCCTGGCCATTCGAAGACATTCCTGCCTCCACCATCCAGCTGTCCGCAGGATAAGCAAGCCCTGCAGAAGAGGAAGCCCTACTCCATTTTACCATACTGAGCACTGGGCACCATTTTAAAACACAGAAGGGCTTATGTCATCTGAAACCACAAGAGATGCTTCACATTCAAACCAATTTCAAGCAAGTGTATAGTTCCAGCCTAGGACTCTCTTTGCTGAAAAACCTGAACAGAAACTGACTCACAAAACCTGGCTTTAATCACAGTTGAATCTCTGACCCTGTTGGATATTGTTCTCTTTTGGACTTGGAGCGCAGACTTCGTTGTTTGTCTGCTGACGAGGGCTGAAGCTACAAATTCCAGATTAAAACACCAGATTTTGCCAGCCCTTATACGGAACACTACCCATAGGTACATTTACATCAGACCACAGTGGGCCAGTATGCTTTTAAGATTCTACAGGGTCCTTTTCCTCTTTCTTCTGCTGTAAAGGAAGGAGTTTTGAGAAAACCAGAGGAGCCTGGATCCTGCCCCCACCCCAATAAACAGACAAGGTCTTTATTAACAAGGAGGTGAGGAAGAACTGCATGCTTCTTTAATGGAACAAAATAATCACAATGCAACAGAAGGATGACTTACCTCTATGGAAAAGCAAAAACAGGATAGAATACAGGAGACAAGACATTCTCATGAACAATCTTGCAATCTTGGAAGTAATTTCATTCTTTTCTTTACCACACTCATAGGGGTTGTTTGAGACCCCTATAGCCTGCATGTTATGCTTTGGCACTTGGCAACGCTTTAGCCAATAGGAAGAACATTTCACTACAGATACGGGTGTAATGAAACCAGGACAGTTGTTTTATGTACAATAATCATTCTTCTTTGTGAAATAGCAAGTATGGGGTGTGAACGTTCAGGGGGCTTTCTGATTCCTAATTCCAGACATAAGGAATTGCTACATAAAGTCCACACATGTTCAGAATCGCTTATTATTCACATGTGTTGGGAGAATGTTTGTTTTATAATGACACAGCTGCATGGAGGATTTTGAGGCCTTGGTGCCAGGAGGCATATACTGCCATGCAAGTTTGACTACAGTGGCAGATGTCATCCAGAAAAATAAATTTTCCAGGCTTTGCCATAAATGTATTTTGATTTTAAGCACGCAAAATTATGTGGTGGATTATGATTATTGTTTATCTTTTAGGCCCAAAGGCTTCTACAATACTCCAGTTTTAAATAAGGTGTCTCTTTAAATGGTACTGATATTTCATTCTCTGGCTACAAAATCCGAAAAAAAGTCAACAACTCCAATATGTAACTAGGAATAAGAAAATCATAGTTTTGAAGCCCGTAGACTAGTTCGTCAAACATGATGCAAAGGAGGCAGGAAGAGCTACATAAATTTCTTGGGAATTTGTTTTCTGTTCTCCACCCAAAACCAAAAACAGCCGAGGGCCAGTACCAAGGCAAGTAATGGCTGATGTTTCTGAAATGTTGAGAGGAGGTTTGCCCAACCTGATACCCCGCAGATGTGACAGTCTGACACATCTGGAGGGTGACAGTTTTAGGATGAGGTTTAGAGACCATATGAGAGCCTGTTATAATTTTCTGGATGGGAATTTTTAAAATGTTTCTTTAAAACCTATCACTCAATGTACATTTTGTAATAAAAGATATTGCTGAAGGAGGACTGGCTAGGATCTTCATATGAAGGTGAGACTTCCTCCACACTACTCCTCTTTAGCCTTGTGGTGTAGTGCAGTGGTTCTTAACCTTGGGTTACTCAGGTGTTTTTGGACTGCAACTCCCAGAAGCCTTCACCACCAGCTGTGCTGGCTGGGGTTTCTGGGAGTTGCAGTTCAAAAACACCTGAGTAACCCAAGGTTAAGAACCACTGGTGTAGTGGCTAAACTGCTGCACTGCAAGTCAAACTCTGTTCAGGACCCAGAGGTTCAATCCCAGGTGGGGTTCATTCACTCTTCTGTTCTTCTGAGTCAGTAAAATGAGTACCCATCTCGTGGAGGTGGGGGAGGCAATGTGCAACCTGCATAGTTAGTTTGTAAACCACCCAGAGAGTGCTTTAAGCACTATGGGGCAGTATGTAAGCAGCATGTGTTTTTAGGCGTAAGAAGGATGCTCTATATGTGATCTCTGAGAGATGGATGGTTTAACTGGATGCCATAGCCCTGAAAATTCTCTTTAGTTGAGAATGTGTGTGATGTCCACTGAGTCAGTGGTGAGAGAAAAGGCACTCTGGGTGTGCTTTGAGAAAGACTACTGCATTCGTTCATTTTTCAGTTATACAAGAGTTTATCTGAGTCAGTGTAGGGCTGAGTCCCGCAAGCCTCCAGCGTGAAATTGGTCATATTTTCTGAAAACAAGGCACGTTTTATTTATAAATCCCTGTGCATGTTATTCAAGACCAATTAACCCCACCCATCCCTTCCCAGAATTGCAACTGAAGAAAATGTTCTGTGAAATTTACTGAGCAGTTTATTATACTATTTTACTAATACACTGTATATGTGGTCCACAGAACAGTAAGTTCCCTGTCTTTCACCTTCACACTACAGCTCTTGTATCTATTACATCTTGACTGACTTGTTCTGATTCCCCACCGATTTTGTTAACATGTAACCACCTCATTAAAGAAAATTATATACAGTACAGAGATCTGAGGCAGGGTTTTAAGATGGAAACCTGAAACAGGTTTTGTCCATTTGTAAAGGAAGAAAAGAGAACTGGGGATGAAGAGTTTTACGTATACTTCGTTTGCCCGAATAGAAACTGGAAATGGGCATCTCTCCACACACTAGCACATCCGTTTACACCGGAGTGGGCAAAACATGGTCCTCCAGATGCTGTTGAACTAACAACTTCCATTAACGTTAAACAGCACAGCTAGTGACAAAATGACGCCGGGAACTGTGGTGCAACAACTTCTGGAGAGGCAGCATTCCTCATATCCCTCAAGTATAATGACATAGTTTGCCTTCACTTCCTCCAAGCCTTCTTTTCAAGCGTGGCGCCATCAAGCTATCTTTGACTACAACTCCCATCACTCCGTGATAATGGCCACTCAGTTTTCTAAGAACGATGGGAGTCGTAGTCTAACTGTATTTGGTAATACTGTATGTGGTGAAGAGGTAGTAACTGTCCCAAGGTAAAGTACGCCTGGAAGCTTCGAGAAGGAGCGGACGCCGACTCTGAGTCTGGGCACCTTCACAAGACGCCTTCCCCACCCGTCAACAAAGAACGCCGCCCTCCCTGCGGATAAAAGGGGGAAGGAGGGAGGGGCTGTGAACGTGGCTTTGAAGAAGAATCTGTATAGAGCGATAATAATTAAGAGTGGCACATCCCATGTGCGGGATTAAACATTCCGGGTACCTCACGAGACTATTTTTTTAAACGGGAGGGGGAACAGAAGTGGTAGAAATTAATGTAGTGTAGGGAGGCGAGTTGGGGGGGGACTTCGCCCTGTTCTGTGGGTTTTTAAGTTGGTTTGGTTAATTGACGGTGCGGGGGGAGTCCCCCAGCTACCACACTCCTCAGATTGCCACGTCCTTACAGTCAGAAAACAAGAGTGGACGATGTATCTTCATCAGACTCCTCAGACATCATAAATAGGCTCGAGTTTTCGAGTCCTGCAGGCTTCTTTTCATCAGTCCGGACATTAGAGAGATGAGGTGGGGGTGCAGAAGAAAAGCCCCTCCCCCCTCCAAATCATGGCGAGAGGGAGCGGCCGGGCTCTCTTTTTTTAAAAGCAAGTTTCATTGCAAAGCCACCTCGTGTGGGTGGAAGGTTTCAAGTTCTACCCCAGGCCATGCGGATTCTGACGTCCTTCCCGGACATAACGCTTACAACGACCCTCTCCGATCTTCTAGTGGCCGCTCGATTGCACTCTATAGCTCGTGCTCGCAGTGGCCGCTCAGGGGAACGAGCGAAAGGGACCCCTCAAGCTCCTGGCAGAGGCGTCGCTCTTTTGCGGGGGTGGCAGCGAGAACCTGACACCCACCGCAGCTGTCATAAAACCTTGCATTGCTCCATTGATTTCAGGGGCTTCCATCCCCAATAAAAGCGGGGGAGAAGAAACAACTAGAAAAACATCAGTGCTGAAGGATATAACTAAGGTGTTGTTCTTTTTTTCCTAAGTCTAGGGAACATTCTGTCACAGGGGGCGTGGCTTCACGGAAGAGGTTGCGTCGAGAAGGAGGAGGGCGAGTGACGCGCTGGTCGACGCATGCGTGGATGGGAGAGGGTTGCTACACTCACTGTAGGTCACCTGAGTGCGATGTCTAAGGAGTGAGTGACGGAGGGGCCTCAAAGGGAGGCGCGGGAGGGGTTTGGGTGGGGTGGCTTTAAACAGGGAGTCCTGCCGACGGAGCGGAGGACTTTGCGAGGAATTGGCCTCTAGCGTGTCGGGGTGGACCCTCCAGTCTGAAGTGGGGAAGCAAGCGGGTTTCTCGGGCTCAGAAGAAGGGGAGCAAGAAGGACATTGCTGCGCGGGTGGAGATGCTTTGGGGTGGGGTTGGGGTGGGGAGAGCAGAGAGGTCAGTGTTGTTTAGTTCCCTTATAAGCCAAATCCCTCATGATGGCGGGCTCTGTCGGCATGGTTCGAGGCAGCGTGTATGACTGCCCTCCCTCCCACTTTATCCTCACAACAGCCCTGTGAGGTAGCTCAAGCTGAGAGTCGCCCAAGGGCATTTGACTTCTCAGCAGGGACCTGAACCTGCATCTCTCAAATTCGCGTCCAGCTCTTGCACCAGCATTTTACGCCGGTGTGAATGTAAAGCTTATGGTGGTACACTCAAAAATGAGACCAAAATGTGCAGGTGAAAATGGAAGGGCGTTTCTCTTTTAAAACAAACCATTAAATAATAAACGCATTCTTAGCATCATGCTTGGAGACAACTACGGTTTTGGAAATGGAAGGATCAGCTGCAGAAACAGTTTGCTGTGAGATGTCATGTAGATATTCTCTGATGTTCCCTGTTTTGGCTCTGGGTTTAAAATGTTAACCTTGGTGGACTCATGATTGTTACAGAAATGCAGACTTGGTGGTGTTTATGAAAACACTGAAAACAAAACAACCCAACCAAGCGTATGTGAGTGGGGAGTGCATTTGCTTGGTCCCTTAGGGTTTCGTCTGTTCTGTTAAATAAGGAGTAAAAGAGCCTGTTGCATTTTTTTTTTTTTTTGCTTTTTTGGTTGTTTTTTCTGGGTTAAAAAGGGAAGAGGGGAAGGAGACTGATCCTTGTTGGTGCTTACCTTGAGCAATGATTCTGTGTCTACACCATTTTCTGCCTTTGCTACATTTTTCCTCGAGTGGTTTTCCTGCTCTTTAGGAGCCTGGAGTCTCAACATACTCAGCTCACTGTTCTGTTATTGGTAAACAAACAATCATGTCATTCTTTTAAATTAGGCATTCATCATGAGCATCCATTGCATGCAGAATCCCTGATGTAAAACTTGGTTTCTATTGCATCCTAGTATTCCCATTTCTGCTTCAAACGTGCTTGAAGCTAAAGTTGGGCAAAGTGTAGTCCTGCATGTGTTGCCAGATGGCAACTGCTGTGAGCCCTAGCAAGCTATGGTGACAGTTGACACTTGGGTCACCTCTGCTTTAAGCCATTGCTAAGGTGCAGGGACAGGAATCAACAGTTAGAACTGGATATGGAACAACTGACTGGTTCAAAATTGGGAAAGGAGTATGGCAACCCTGTACATTGTCCCCATGCATATTTAACTTATATGCAGAATACATCATGTGAAAGGGAGGACTGGAGTAATCCCTAGCTGGAATTAAGATTGCTGGAAGAAATATCAGCAAACTCAGATATGCAGATGATACCACTCTGATGGCACAAAGTGAGGAGGAATTAAAGAACCTCTTAATGAAAGTGAAAGAGGAGAGCGCACCTGTACGTTGTCCCCATGCATATGTAACTTATATGCAGAATACATCATGTGAAAGGGAGGACTGGAGTAATCCCTAGCTGGAATTAAGATTGCTGGAAGAAATATCAGCAAACTCAGATATGCAGATGATACCACTCTGATGGCACAAAGTGAGGAGGAATTAAAGAACCTCTTAATGAAAGTGAAAGAGGAGAGCGCAAAAAAATAGTCTGAAGCTCAACATCAAAAAATCTAAGATCATGGCCACTGGTCCGATCACCTCCTGGCAAATAGAAGCGGAAGACATGGAGGCAGTGAGATATTCTACTTTCTTGGGCTCCCTGATCACTGCAGATGGGGACAGCAGCTACAAAATTAAAAGACACCTGCTTCTTGGGAGGAAAGCGATGACAAACCTAGACAACTTCTTAAAAAGCAGAGACATCACCTTGCCGATCGTCAAAGCTATGGTTTTTTCTTGTAGAGATGTATGGAAGTGAGATCTGGACCATAAAGAAGGCTGACGGCCTAAGAATTGATACTTTTGAATTGTGGTGCTGGAGGAGACTGTTGAGAGTCCCCTGGACTGCAAAGAGAACAAACCTATCCATTTTGAAAGAAATCAACCCTGAGTGCTCACTGGAAGGACAGATCCTGAAGCTAAGGCTCCAATACTTTGGCCATCTAATGAGAAGAGAAGACTCCCTGGAAAATGTTGGGAAAGTGTGAAGGCAAGAGGAGAAGGGGACGACAGTGGACGAGATGGTTGGACAGTGTCATCGAAGCTACCAACATGAATTTGACCCAACTCCGGGAGGCAGTGGAAAACAGGGCCTGGCGTGCTCTGGTCCATGGGGTCACAAAGAGTTGGACACGACTTAACGACTAAACAAGAACAAAGTGCTGGTAGCAGTAGTATTGGGTTAACTGAAATTTAACAGTTCATCCAAGGTGCCATTTAAGTATTGGGTGCTTTATTGTATCTTGGGAATACAGTGTTTCATTTCATTTTTTAAAATGAAAAGAACACTTGTGAAGAGTGGTTTAAAAATGGGGAAAATTTCTGGTGAAAAGTGAGATACTCAAGGCAGTGCTTGTACTGAGTAACGTATGTTGTGATCCAGCCTTTCCAAGTCCTGTGGCAATACTTGTTGTTCTTTTCCCATGAATGCCAGTATTAATAAAAGAAGCAAACAAACTAATTTGCATAAATGATGTAGGTCACAAGATGGCAGTTTTTCTTGTGCAAAAGATTGTGTATTTTTTTTTGAGCAGAGTTCAGATGACCTGATTAAGGCTTCAGTTCTCCTGTTAGTACCTTTCACATAGCTCTCCTTCTGCTTTTTTGCTCCCAGGAAAGTGGAGATTACAGATCCAAAATGCATCCTTTATTGGAAAAGAAAGGTCAAGTCAGAATACATGCGTCTCAGGCAGCTCAAGAGACTTCAAGCAAATATGGGGGCTAAGGTAAAGATATTTTTGACCATTGACCAAAGAGCTTTTTCTGTAGCTCTTTTTTCATGTAGGGATAAGGCTGGTCAGTTTTCAGTGAGTAAAATCTCCACCTTGTAACTGGCTTTCTTTCTAGAAGATGATTGATGTAAATAAGCTCTGGAAAACATCCAGGCCTATCCCTCCCACATCCCAAAAGGCTCAACATGCAGAGTGGCAGTTGAACTATAACTGCAAGATCAGGGCTAGTCCAATATGTTTTGCTTCATAGGTCAAAGAAGATTAATGTGCCCTGTCTACTGAAGCCAACTGGATTGGCAGTGAACTCTTACTTAAATGCTGGTAACGGGAAGGCATCCTTCACTTCATCTGAGGGCATTAGGCTCTCAGCTTAGGACGTAAAAGGCAGAATACGCAGTTCTTTCCTCCAGCAGAAGGGAATAGCTAAGGGACTCCCACTGTTGCTCCCTACACATTATCCCCTTATCTGCCATACGAGGCAATCTCACCAACAGTAGGATCTGCCTTAACCAAATATAGCTGTTATTGTAGTCAAAACAAGGTTGAGTCTTCTGGTGTAGAATTTTGTGTTCCAAGGAAGGTCTAGTTCACAACAATTTAGGTTGTAATCTAGTAGACTTCGGTATGTTATAAGATTCCTAGAGATGGCTTCAGATAGCACAATATGAAATCGGAGTGAGAGCCCTGCTGTTTACCAAAATGAAGTGCTGTTCTACAGCCACTGCAAGGGACATCCATTGCATTACCGGAGTTAGAGCCCTGCTATTTAGCAAAATGAAGCGCTGTTCTACAGCAGCAAAATAAATGCTTCCCCTCAGCCACTGCAAGGGACATCCATTGCATTACTTAACTCACTGGAGCTTCCTATTTTCTAACTGCTGGGTTCCAAGGACCTCTCAGAGCCAGGCCTTGTCCATTGAGTGTCTGAAGGAACTGCCTGTCCTGTGGCACAAAAGATTTCCCTGGCTTCTCTACAAACTTGGAGAAGCCCTTAGAGGCTGGCAGTTAGAAATGACTGGCTCTGCTGACAGCAGCATGCCCCATGCTTCTCCCATCTGAGCTGTTATGCTGCCGTAAGTGAGGGAGGAAGAAGAGGTGATGAAGTGGCGAAGAAAGGAGGGAGAGGATGCGGCAGCGGTGATAGGGGAAACCAAATGGGGGACAGAGGCAATACTATTTGGGGTATGGTAGAAACTGGATCGCAGATATGGTGACATTTTTGCTTGATAGACGGGAACTCAGGAGGAAGTAGGTTGTTGTGGTGTGTGAAGGCCCCATCTCAACCGGCCTCAAAATGGTGTAGATTTCATCTCTGAAGATGTGCCTGTCTGCACATGTAAGATTTTTGAGATTCTTGTATCAGTGGTGCAAACTTGAGAGCTGCATCCTGCTTTTTATGTTCACAGGGACTTTGTACAACCACCAAAAGGGATTAAACTTTATAGAAGACAAAGGTTTTGGTCCAATGTTCTTCTCTTCTCCCCTCTCCCCCCAGGTTTTATATGTGTCTAATTATGCAAAGGTTCAAGAAAAGATCAACATCCTGAATGAAGACTGGAAGAAACTTAGAGTCCAGCCTATTCAGTCTATGAAGCTTGTTGGAGGTCACCCTTTTCTCAAACAGGTATGCTAAGAAGGCGTATGGAGATGTCAGTCTTTCAGTGCTATATTGTTCCATAGAACACTCTGTGATTTCTTTCCTATGTTTGCTTCCACACCCCAGGAAAAACATTATCTCCATTCTTCAAGGTTGTTCTGCTACGTAATCATGTGTAATCTCTTAACAATAAGACGGGAGAAGGGCTGTGGAAAGTTTAAGCAATGTGGCTTATGTCACCAGGTGCTGGCCCACTGAGAATCACAGCTTGTATTTTAAGAGAGTTGCAGATGCCGGGAAGCATTCAGAAGTAGATTTTGATGGAATGATTTGCTTTCAGCAATGGAGGCTCCCCCCCCCCCAGCATTCTAGTTATTGTCCTCTTTCTCCAACTGTATTCAGATACTTTATAAGGGAAAAAGAAGTTGTCTTTAAAGTAAATTGGAAGCGCTACAGAGTATAAATGTAAGAAGAGGAGTAGTGTTGATTTAGTATAGAATTTGTATATTGTTATTGGCACACCTCTTTTTCTGATCTTTGTGATCTATAGAACAGTACAAAGTCTGAATTATAAAGAAAGAAGGGATATATGCAAGTATTTCTTCTTGCCAAATTGATTTGACTGTATGAATTCTATTATGACTTCTGTATGAAGAACATTTCTTCTTTACCCCCACCTGAACTCTAAGCAAGATTGGGATGCTAAGATGTTCCACACTTGGCAAGATAGAGTTAAATGTTAGGTAACGTATGTGGAGCTGTTTAAGGTCAGTAGGATGCAGGAAAGCTTTCGGGGAGCTAGAGGAGTTATTCAGGTTTTTCGTAGTCTAACAAGGAACAGCAAGATACAATAGTTAAACCAAACATGATACATTAGATAACATTATTTACAGCAGTGGTCCTCAACCCCCAGTCTGCGGCCAGGTGCTGGTCCATGGTCTTGGCAGGACCGGGCCACGGAGACAGATCTCCCACCTACCCCATGCGCAGACACCCCCACGCATCATGGCCCACCCACTCGCATGCATGGGTGCCCCTTAAGCACGTCCCGCGCATGTGTGTGAGTGCACCCTGCGACACCCCCATGTATCATGGCCCACCCACTCACATGCATGGGTCCCCGCAAGCATGTCCCGCGCATGTGTGTGAGTGCACCCTGCCCCCATGAGCATTCCCTGTGCCACCTGTGCATGTGTGCAAGCGCCCCTGTGAGCATGCCCTACACCATGTGTGTGAACGCACCCCGCCCTGTGAGCGCACCCCACACCTTGAGCGCAAGCACGCCCCACTCCCCGTGAGCACGGGGGTGCCCCCGCCGCCCCTGCACATGGACCCCGCATGCCCAGCCGGTCCACGGATCATAAAAAGTTGGAGACCACTGATTTAGAGCACTGATTTTTTTTTCCTAGAAAATATTCCACTTCTAGTTTTTCTGGAAACTCTACTTCCCTGTACATCACATTGTCAAATAAACTGGCTCCTGTCAGTTGTTCACCATCTTCCCTCTGGATGTGGTGTTTAGTGATGCCTCTACAGGAAATGGAGAGGGAGGGCAAACCTGAACTTTTAATTGAAGAGGAAACCTATCAGATCCCAGTGCTTGACAACTGAACATAACCACTTTTCTTTCTTTGAAAATTGTAGTAGAAATGTACATAATACTTAGTAGAAACTGCCCAGTCTTGGAGGGCATCTTTCTTACAAATTGCAACTTTTCTTCTCCCTCCAGTGTACAGTTGAGAGCGGTTTCCCTGATTGGAGCCCACAAACATTGTTTATGAGGACTCTAAACACTGTAGCCCTGGTGCCTATCATGTACTCTTGGTCGCCACTTCAACAGAATTTCATGGTAGGTGGCCATCTGGTACTGTATATAATCGCTTCCTACAACTAACGGTCTGAATGTGGATTTACTCCTTTGACTTAGGACTGCAGGGTTTCATGTCTTGTTGGGGGTCAGAGAGGCTAAACTGTATATTGCCCAGTTTTTGTTTTGTTTTGGATTTTTGACAGGTATTTTTGACTCTTTTACCTTCTTGCTGCTTCTGTACTTCCAAATTTAAAGTAGATAATACTGCCTCTCCTTTAGGATTGCATGTTTCTGGTTGTGCTCTAGTAACTAGGCCGTCTCTTAGGACTCACAAGTGGCTAGCTATCATTTACTTGTTTACCCCTTCTTTAAATATCCAACTCTGGATAAAGTGGGAAAAGTAGACTGGGTTTCCCCCCCATCTTTTATAACACCAGAGCATAAAATTATTGAGTAAAACTCTAGGCCAATAAATTGAAAACAGTGAAGTAAAATACCTCATAACCCATTGCATACTTAATTTATTGAATTTTCTGCTTTAAAATGTCATGATGATCATGGCCTTAGATTGTTTTGAAAGGTAAATGAGTTTTTAAGGAAAGAAGAGGAGTTTCATTTGACTAGACCAAGCAATAGGTATCTTAGCCTACATGTTCTGCATAGAAGCAATAACCTATTCCACTCCTGCACCTTGGGAACTGGGCATAGGAACCAGAAGTTCCATTCTGCTGCCATGAATAATAGCCATTGTTAAGAATTTGTCTTTTGTAAATGGACTTAATGCCTTTTTTCCTTGTTCTTTTTCTTTTCTGTTGTTATAAAATATGAAACAGTCAAAAACAGATAAAATTTATTATTATTACCGTATTTTTCGCTCCATCTATTATTATTAATTATTAATTTTTGTTGTTCAAAAATACCAGGCACAGTGAATCAAAATTATAAAAACATTGACTGGTATTATAGTATTCTATAACAGATGCAAGTTTTAACCGAAAACCTAAGTATCTATTAAATATCAGCACAGTATGTATGCTGTACCTAATATTGCCATTTTTTGTAGTTCTGATGGTGTCATTTCTGAGATCTGCAACTGCTTATAATACTGTGTGAGATTTCTTGATATTGTTCCCAAAGTAGAGATGTTAAATTTCCAGAATGCTATTTTATATGACTTCAAAATTTCTGGAAATGTTACACCTCTAGCTGGGACTACATCATGCCTAGAGATGGGAAGGCCTGGGGGAAATGGAGGGGGGGCATGGTTTTTTCCATTTTTTCCAAAGCTGATTTATATGGCTTCAAAATTTCTGAAATTTTTTACCTCTCTATCCCAATGCCCTAATGACTGTGGGGCCCCCTGAAGTGTGTTCCATCCACACATGAAATATTTCAATTGCCCTCTCTATTTTGTTAGCTTTTTCAATTCTTTATCTTCTAATTCCTTGGATCTTAGCTTTCATCACATTGGTTTGGAGTGCTTGTTCCTGTGCAGCAAAAATCTTGCATTCAGTTTCTTTCTTAATGGTCCCCAGTCTTAGTCATAACCATGTTGAATAATTATTATGCTTTCCATCAATATTTCTCAGGTGTTGTTGGGATGACGATGATCATGGCTGTGCACCAGAATGTTGGAGATTTTGACATAGTTGGCCAGTGTCCCATCTAACAAAAAACTGTGACTTGGAGAAATGAGCTTATTTGTGTAGGAACTCTCAGAACAATTATTACAGAGCAGTCCTATAAACAGTCGCACTGGGCAGAGATGCACAACTGCTGTGATGACACAAGTTACTTTTTGATGTACCTTTAAAGCTGATTTCTTAGATTTCACCAGATGGGATGCTTGACTTCTAGAGGAGCAAGTTATGCATCTCATAGTGGTAGCATATGCGTATCTATCATGTATGTCCTATGAGTAGATATACAGTATAGCTTTCTTGCCCCTTTAAACTTCCTGATCTAGAGGAAAAGAAAACACTGAATCCCTTCAGCAGTAAACCACTACCGAGCAGGAACTCCATAAAATCCACCCTCTTTCCAAGGAACAGTAGGACTGGAACTGTAACATTGGCCGATTGACTTGGCTTTTTCTTCAGAATAAGTGAGAGGAGTAATGTGCTTTTGAAATACTTCTCTACTGATAATGAAAGACCTGCTCCGTGAGACTGGGATAAATTGGACCAGTCTTTCCCACTCAGTTTCCCTTTATTGTGTTGGACTACAAATCCCAGTAGCATTATTGGTTGAAAGTGGATTCATTGTCCAATACATCTGGAGGGTCCTGGGTTGAGGAAGACTGAGCCGGGCAGTAAAATCAAGAAGAATCCTGTAGGATCCCATTAAGGCAGCCATACAGTCTGCCATTTGGAAGCTCTCCTGGTGAGCGGACAAAAGACAACCACCTGCCCCCTTCAGGCTGTCTCTGCCCTATTTTCAGGTGGAAGATGAAACCGTTTTATGCAACATACCTTATATGGGAGATGAGGTGAAAGAGGAAGATGAAACTTTCATCGAGGAGCTCATTAACAACTATGATGGCAAAGTCCATGGCGAGGAAGGTAAGGGTATGCAGGCAAACATCCACAGAGATTTCAGGGTGCCATGCTCAGCCTGCGACAGGGCAATGAGATGTGGGTTCGTTACACTGACAATCACCATTTTATTCACCTAACCTAGATCTGAATGTCATTTTTTAGCTTAACTTGGTGTGCCATAGAAGCTACATTTTCTGCCAAAGAGCAGGTCATGTGCCTCACCCATGCTCAAAGAGCATTATGCCACTGCATCCAATCTCTTCCCCCGCTTAAGGCTCATCCTACTGATTCACTATCCACCAGTTCTTCTTTCCAGAGATGCTTTCGGGCTCTGTCCTGATCAGTGATGCTGTGTTCCTGGAGTTGGTAGATGCGCTCAATCAGTACTCTGAAGAAGAGGAAGAAGGACATGAGTCTGCTGAAGGCAAACAGGAAGCTGGGAAAGATGAGCTACCTGTGACCCGGAAGAGGAAGCGGCTTTCCATGGAAAGTAAGTGTCTTAGCCTGCTTGTCTGCCATGCTAGTGTCATAACTTCACAAAGTAGTATGCATTGGCCAGGCAGGAGGACTTCAGCTGCAGTTCTCAGTTCTGTGTATCCAAGATTGGGAGGTCATGTTCCTCTCCAGTAGAGATTAATGAGAACAGAGCTTGTTACATTTACTGCAGGTGATATATTTTAGATTTCACAGTAGTCCCATCTCCCTACCCTAAAATTTTATCTCAAGGGAAGAATCTTGACAAGGAAACTGCCAGAGTCAAGAGCAGTTTCATAGTATTCTTTATCCCTGATAAAATTCCTGTCATTGATCTGAGAAAGTAAAGGGCACTGCAGATATTACACAGTTCCTATGAGGAAGGTCTTTCATATAAGAACTAAATTGCATGCTGTACAGTGATTTAGTGCAGTGATTTTACTTCTATATTGTGCTCTAGGGGAAGCTGCTAGTGGCTACACGCACACTTCATTTATATGCAGTAATCACCATGGTGGTCTACAGTGGGAGTAGGCAAATCTGCTAAACTTGATTTTGTTCAGTTTCTGGTTTTGACCATTCCCATTTCTGCTTAGCATTGCCCCCCATCAGTTTGTATGAAATTTCGTACACACATAAACAAAACATAGATATTGTGCAGACTTTTCCAAATATGTCATTTTTTTCAAATCTTTCCCCATCAAATAAAGCATTTTGATGCATTTGCTTCAAAATACACATTTTTTTAGAAGTACAATTTGCTGTGCATCAGCTGTTGTGTGTACCACTCTTCTTTATAAAAATTACATCAACAACTTTACAAAACTACATGTTTTGAGTTCAAAATGCATCCCTATTTGTGTTTAGGTTCAAGGAAGGGCCATTTTGATAAATGCTTATTGAAATGAAAACAAAACAGATTTCTTATTCATTCTTGCTCTTCTCATTGAGTGTCTGCTAATCTTGCATGCAAGTGTATAGAAGGTGCCTTTCATTTACAGAAATAATTGAGAGCTTCCTTTCCTTTAGAATATAGTTTGTTATTGCCTATTCCTTATATAAACATCTTTGTAGATAATGGATGGTTCCTGATTATGCTTTGGAACAGTGATAGCAGTTAACAATTAAGTACCATTAGTTCCAAAATTGCCATCATCCTTCCCTTTTTACCTGTGACAGGTAGCAAGAAATCTTCCAAGAAGAATTTTCCAAATGACATGATCTTTGCTGCTCTTTCATCCATGTTCCCTGAGAATGGCTTTCCAGAGGATATGAAAGAAAGGTGAGGATTCTTTGATACAAGCTAAGCATCTTTTGCCTTTTCTAATCTGAAACCCCACCTTTACCTGTGATATACATTCCCAAGATCTGCAACAGAAATGTGTTTGCTATATAGCTTATTGACGCGCAAATTTTAGACATTTACATATTGCCCAGCTTTTTGTTTTCGGTTTTTGACAGATTAACATTTGAGAGATTTAACTTGCAAATTTTAGATCTTGTTTTCAAATGCAGATACTTACATTTTACACGGGGTTCATTCTAAATATCATATAGATTTAACTTCATGGGCAGATGTGATGCTGATTCAGTCTTTCTGCTTCCAACCTGAGACTTAGATTCCTTGATTGAATTACGTTGAGTCGAGGTGGAAGACTTTCTTCTTTGAACTATGACTCCAGACCGGTGGTCGTGCCGGCTATGATATTCTTAGAGCTGCTGTGCAGAAAGATTTTTCAACATCTGGACAAGGTGGACTCATTGATGTGGTGCAAAGCAGTGTTTTTTTTTCCTGATTCCATGTTCCGCAGTATGATTAACAGGGTGCAGATACCAAGAAGTGATCTGAAAGGTGTTCAGTTACATTTCTAGGCAGTTCTGTTCTGCTTAAGTGGTACCAACTTCTAGTTTGAAATCAACCTTTCCCCATACTTCATTTGGCTTGCTCTGAATCATCTTGCAGTTTTGGGACTCCACTGTGTGACTCATCTCTCCTCCTCCCTTCCCCACAGGTACAGAGAGCTGACAGAAGAATCTGACCCAAATGTGCTTCCTCCTCAGTGCACACCAAACATTGATGGGCCATGTGCCAAATCTGTTCAGCGTGAACAGGCCCTGCATTCCTTTCATACACTTTTTTGCAGGCGCTGCTTCAAATATGACTGTTTCCTCCATCGTAAGTCCTTATCATGATTCCTTACTTTTCAGTTTGTGCTTGCAAATGAATATTGAGGGAAGTGTTTGTTCCAGGGAGGTCCCAGCAGGTATTAGAGTGGCCCAGATGTTTCCTGTATATGAGAGCTGTTCCCCAAATATCTTGTACTGTCATTACCAGGATATAGATTCTTGTGAAATACAGGCACACCTGCCCTTTGAACTCTGCCTCTCAAAGAGCTGTTCTGGAATTTCCAGCTCACATCAATCTGCCGACATCCCTTACTTACCACAATCTATGTGTGAGATTCATGCTGCATACAGAGTGACTTAAAACAAATATTGCAGTAAAGCCCATTACTCTTTTGCATAAAAAGCTGCTGTATGAAAACCCCAATTAAAGCAGATCAGTAAAGTAACATTGTATAGCTAACTAGCCAGACAGGAGTGACATGAACAATTTCCCAGGTTCTTTGGAGCAATTCATTGCCATTTGTAAATGGTCCCTGATATGCAGGGCATGTTAAGTGTTGTAATCGGGTTGAGATCAGCTGAGTTTATGTGTCATTAGCAAATTCTGCTCAGGTTGCAATAATTTTAGTAAGTAGTTTGGGATTTTTAGTGTTTTCCCAGAAAGTTGCAAGGAGGTGTAATTCTCCTGAGGAAAAGAGCTGCAAGCTATTTGGACAGCTTCCTCTTCTAACTCAAATAAAAGGACTCTTGTCTTTTAGCATTCCATGCTACCCCCAATGTTTATAAGCGGAAGAACAGAGAGACCAAAATCGAAATGGAGCCGTGCGGACCAGACTGCTTTTTGTGGCTGGTAAGATGGATGGGAGTTGGTGATGTGGGAGCAGAGAAGGGGAGCAGGAGCAGCACAGGGAGTGGCAGGGGAAGCAGTCCTACTTGGACATCACCAGGGGAGTAGCTGTGTTAAGAGACAGCAAAACCAAACCAGGAGTTCATGACCACCTTGAACGTTAATGGAGTTATGAGGAGTGATATGTTGTTGCAGAAAGCAAGATAAAAGTGAGGGGAATATAGATCTTCAGAAAAGCGATGGGGTAAGAACCATCCCGTTGCGGGCATTGTTTTTGTCTTCAAATACAGTGGTGCCTTGCTTGACGACATTAATTCGTTCCAGCAAAATCGCTGTAGAGCAAAAACGTCGTCAAACGAAATTAAAAAACCCATTGAAACGCATTGAAAACCGTTCAGTGCATTCCAATGGGTTGAATACCTGCTTGTCCAGCGAAGATCCTCCATACGGCAGCCATTTTTGGTGCCTGTAAAGTGAGGAATCCATCCTAGAAAACAGCAGGGGGGCATTTTCTTTAGCTGGCGGCCATTTTAAAACCCGACGATCAGCTGTTTGCTGATTGTCGTAAAGCGAAAATCGGTTCCCGAAGCAGGGAACCGATCATCGCACGGCAAAAAAAAATTTAAAACATCATTTTGCGGTTGCGCAACGTAAAGTGGATTCGTCGTAGAGCAGGGTAATCGTCCAGCGGGGCACGACTGTATTGAAAAATGGTTGGGTCGTCTGTCTTCTTGGAGAGATCCTTTTGAAACTGGCCTAGCTAGCCTTCTGTCTAGGTATTTCCATATTTCCATATGTGTTGTAAATCAGGCTTTGATTATAGGAGGGGGCCAAGGAGTTTGCTGTAATGCACAACCCACGATCAAAGTGCTCTGGGCGGCGGCGGCGCAAGCACGCCACGCTCAGTACCCCTTCCACCTCCAGTGCTTCAACTTCCACGAGCATCGAAGCAAAAGAAGGTGACAGTGACAGAGACACAGGCAACGACTGGGCTTCTAGTTCCTCTGGTAAGTGATGCTCCCTGAAGAGATTTACCCCTTGCTTTGTGGAAAGGTGGGGTGCCAGATTTGCAGGCATCCAGGTACCTGTTAACTTCCCCATAGTCCGGGAGGGTAGGAGATTAAAACAGAAGCGTTTTTATTCCATAGAGGCCAGAACTTCATCTCAGCATCTGTCTTTGGTGCTGAGGCTAAAATTTGAACTGAATATGATGGCGCATGTGCAGAGTGCTTTTCTTTCATCACAGCCAGCCTTTGGTATTTGGAATAAAAGTTTCTGGGACAACTTGTCAGTGCAGTTCTATAGAGATATGGCTCCAGGTCAGAAGAGGAAAGTGGCACTTAGGGTCTCTCGTCTTAGGGACCTGCTCTCCAAATCTTCATCCTTGTTCTCTTAGAGGCAAATTCGCGTTGCCAAACCCCAACCAAACCAAAGTTGAGCCCAGCCTCCTCGCAGCCCTTCATGTCTGACATGCCAGCAGAGCCTGTCGAGTGGACAGGGGCCGAGGAGTCCCTTTTCCGCGTCTTCCATGGGACATACTTCAACAATTTCTGCTCCATCGCTCGGCTTCTGGGAACCAAGACATGCAAGCAGGTATGGCCCTGGGCACCAGGATGACCAGCTTAGCAGTGTTGGGCACATTCGGACATCCCTTTGAATGAGCTGCATTCCTCTTCTGGCAGGTCTTTCAGTTTGCAGTAAAGGAGGCCTTGATAACAAAGTTGCCGGCTAATGAGCTCTTGAACCCCTCCCAGAAAAAGAAGAGGAAACACAGGTGAGCAGCAAACAGAACCTGCCAAGTAGGAAACACATAAGACTCACCCCCCTTTTAAAACTGGTTTCTTTGTAGCTACAGTCTAGGTGGGGATCCTGTTGGTGTTCACATGCTGTCAAATTATAACTTCTTCCCATACTGCTTAGGGTTAATAGGAGTTGTGGGTCTCTGGATGTTACTATATTCTGTGTTGCCTACCCCCAGGAACTATAAAAGGTGTTTATCATCTATGATGGTTTTGGTTGGGGTGGGCCTAAATTGCCCAAGCCAACTGAGACCTGACTGTAATCTTCTGCCCTGTTCATCCACACAGCTTAAGAAAAGAGGGTTAGAAATATGAAATGTAATAACTTCCCACCTACCTCTTTTCTAATACAGTGGTGCCTCGCTTAACGAGCGCACCGTATAACGATTAAATCGCATAGCGATCCGTTTTTTCGGATCGCTAATGCGATCGCACAACGTTTTTCCTATAGGGAAAAATTCGCTTTGCGAAGACCGGTAAGCGTTTCGCTTACCGATCTTCGCAAAACGACCCCCGCCGATCAGCTGTTCGGCGGCCAAAATGGCCGCTGGAAGCCGGGAAATGGCCTAAAATGGCCGCGCGCAGCGTTTTCGCGCCCTCATTAAGCGAGGCGAGGGCGCGAAAATGGCTGCCGGCCATTAAAAAGCTTCGCTGAACGGTGAGTATTTGGCCTATTTGGAACGCATTAAACGATGTTTAATGCGTTCCAATGGAAATCGCTGCCCCGTTCAGCGATGCTTCAGCATAGCGAAGGTTAATCCGGAACGGATTAACCTCGCTATGCGAGGCACCACTGTAGTTTTAGGCTGGGAATAATACATTGCCTCTTCCCAGCCTGTTCTCCATTTCCCAGTTCTTTGCTGCCAGGAGTATCTGGCAAATGAGCTAGAGGGAAACATTGCCAGTATGGCATGGCAGTTAACAATATATAGTATATATTTACTGGGATTTGGGAGTCTCAAGTTTCAGTCTGTTGACCCATGAGACTGAGTGGGCCACTTTGGGTCCCTCTTTCTCCCTTTCTCAGACAGATCTGTTTCACAAGCTTGTTATCAGGTTAAATTGAAGGGGAGGTGTGTCCAGTGCTTTTCTTTTAAGGAGAACAGGAATAGAAAATAACACTTAAGGACCAACAACCTGTTTCTACATTTAAAATGTGGACTTCCCCCCCCCTCTTCCTCTTTCCTCTGTCTTTCCAATCAAGACTCTGGGCTGCCCACTGCAGGAAGATCCAGCTTAAAAAAGGTAATATTTGTCCTCCTCCTACCCTGTCTGGCTTCTCCTTCTCCCCATCTCCCCCTGAAGAGTTTCATGTTGGCTACTCTGAGCTGTTGGTCCCTTCAGAGAGTTGAACAGTGTTTCTTCCAAGACATAACTCAGATGTTTCTAGGACCTGCCTTGAAGTAAGTATTCTTTTCCAATGCTGAGGGCTAGAAATCAAAATCCTGGGACCCTGTGAGTGGCAAAATAGGGCGTTTCAAACTGTTGCCTTGGCACTCCAAGGTGGCGTTGCTTTCCTGCTGCCTCCAGCCCTGGCTGAAGCTTGGCTTGGCCCTTTCCATGTGAGGCACTCTGCCCTTAGCTAAGGTCTGGTGCTTGCAACTTGTGCTGCACTGAACGGCTTTTATGATGGTTGGCTCATGACTGTATCTCTTCCTTTCTCTTCTGGCAGACAATTCATCCACTCAAGTGTACAACTACCAGCCCTGTGATCACCCAGAGCATCCTTGTGACAGCTCCTGTCCTTGCATCATGACCCAGAATTTCTGCGAGAAGTTTTGCCAGTGCAATCCTGACTGTAAGAAATTACACTAGGCTAGATTTGCACATTCTGGCAAATGTCTTTCTAACAAGGGTTGGTTCTGGTTTTCCCACTGTCACATGAATCCCGTTTTTAAAGTGTTTTTGCTTTTCCCCAAGGCCAGAACAGATTCCCCGGCTGCCGATGTAAAACTCAGTGCAACACCAAGCAATGCCCATGCTACTTGGCCGTGCGAGAATGTGACCCAGATCTTTGCCTGACCTGTGGTGCTTCAGAGCACTGGGACTCCAAAGTGGTCTCATGCAAGAACTGCAGCATCCAGAGAGGTCTCAAGAAGGTTTGTCGCAGTCCAGAAAGGGGCAGAACTGGGAAATGCAAGAATCCCCTTGCGTCGATGTGGCTGTGGAAGATGTGGAAAGCAGGGAAGCAAGGGGAGAGAAAGAGAGAAGAACTGGTTGAGTTTGAGGCTGTAGGCTGATGCAGAGAACATGGGGACGTGAACTGTTGCACTTGCTCTGGGACAAATACGAAGGAAAGCAGCCTAGGAGTTTTGTGGAATTGGTTTATTTTGAATAATTGATTCTGTTTCTGCTAGCAGTGGAAAGGACTTTAAAAAGTACTGCTTCCAGGCCCAACACCTTTTTTGTTTCTATATTCACTCAATATCACACCCAAATTTCTAAGATTTCATGAGTATTGCTAGACGTGTTTCCGTAGCCATAAAGGCTAGAAGCCTATTTTTCATATGGGATCCTCTGTGCACAATGCTCCTATGGGCATGTGGAGAATGCAAAGTGTGAGATGATATCCTCTCATTTGGAAGCCTTTGAGAGCAGACATCTATCTAAAAAAATGTTGTAGGCAGATTTCTTATTGGGGGGGGGGTTAAACTGAATTATTGTTACAGGTTCCTCATGACTCTGCGATTCCTTGTGATTGTCTGCTCTTTCGTTTCTTTCCTGAGAGTTAACAATGCAAACTGAAAAGCTTTCCATCTCTCCTTCTTTTAGCATCTGCTGCTGGCTCCATCAGATGTTGCTGGGTGGGGAACCTTCATCAAGGAGGCTGTGCAGAAGAATGAATTTATCTCTGAATACTGTGGGGAGGTGAGTTTTGGGGCTCAGGATGTGGCCTGGCCTTCTCTTTGCAGCACTCCTTTAATGTGCAAACATAAGCACACACTTGTTACCATCAAGGGGATGGGCATGAAGTGATTCTACTTACACTGAGATGTCCTAGAGGCTTACAGACCTGCAAGCGTATGAGAAGCAAAGGGACCTCATGAAGAAGATACTCCTTTCTGTCTCCAAACAGAAAGATCTGGCATTCCATGGGAAGCACCACTGATAGTTATCATATCCCTGTAAAGTATAGGGCAGTATCCCTGGCTAGCCGTCATCATGCCATGGGTTCTTCGCATATCCCAAGGGCCAGAAAGATGTAGGGGATAAATACTCACCTTTAGATGACTTGGGACCCTTATTTGGTCAGCCCTTATTTTATGCCATATTATTAATATGTCCTGTCCTACTCTTGTGCACCAAACTCTGTTGCAAAATGCGGTTGAGGGGACAAGGGATGGTTGTGCACTCTCTCTTTTGCCATGGGCATACTGGCTGCTCTGCCGTTTCCAGCAGACCGAGTACGCTGGTCTTTGTTGGCTTTGGGGCCTCCATTTGCCAGATCTAGGATTCACACTGGGAAGCTTAAATCCTTGATCTGCCCCAGCTGCTTTCTTAATTGGATCTGATTTGACATGCTTCCAGCCATTCATTTCTTATCTTTCCTTCTCCCAGCTCATTTCCCAAGATGAGGCTGACCGCCGTGGGAAGGTCTATGACAAGTATATGTCTAGCTTCCTTTTCAACCTCAATAACGGTAAGTGGCTGCATTGGGACAAGGCAAAGCTCCAAACTGGCTGCACCCCACAGCCTTGAGTAATGGAATGAAAATGGGAAGAGGAGCCACTTTCAAGGGAGCTGCACGGGGAGTAGATTCCAGAGTTCTAGCACTGTAATGGCTTTAGCTTGAGTCTTTTTTCCTTGGACAGATTTTGTTGTTGATGCCACCCGCAAAGGGAACAAAATCCGTTTTGCAAACCACTCTGTCAATCCCAACTGTTATGCCAAAGGTAAGGCAAGTTGGCAAACTTTTTCTTGCAAAACCACTTGTTATTTTTCCACCCGCAAAGCAGGCTTTTGAAATGAAAAAAGGATTCATTTAAAGTAATCTCATCAAGTCATTCCAGCTATTTTAAACCAAAAGTTTATGGACTCAGATGCCACACTAGAGGTTTTCATGCTTGCATTTAACCTCCGTACACTGATTCTTTATCAGAATCTGTGATTCTAGACAGGCTGGTTACAGAAAGGGCTTTGGGAAGGAATGCAAAGGGTACAGGAACAAGGGAGTAGGGTTTTTTAGCTGTAGGGAACAAACAACAAATGGAGCAAAGCCTTCATGTTTCTTGACTGTAATTTAGATTTCTGCTGTTGCTGCAAAGCATAATCCCATGAAAGAATGTCCAATAGTAGTTTCTTGGATTAAGCAGCCAGTGGTGCTTTAACTGCTTCAGTACATCTGTGTGCATGCATATCTTTGCTGCAGGGATAAGTGGCACCTCTTTTCAAGTGATACTGGTAGCTTGGCAGGTGATGCGAACTTCGGTCCATGTATTTAGATGGGCAGTTAATAGGTGGCTGTGACTACTGGTCATGTTGGCAACTGAGTCTTTCTTGTCCCAACACAGTGGTGATGGTGAATGGAGACCACCGTATTGGGATCTTTGCCAAAAGAGCAATCCAGGCAGGGGAGGAGCTCTTTTTTGATTACAGGTGAGTGTCTCTCAGAAGGAAAAGGCAGGAGTGCCCAGTTTTTGGTTCTGGAAGGTTTTGAGCTCTTGCTCTGTGCAGGACCCCCCCCCCGCATCTGCACAGAAGACTGTGCCTCTTCATAGCCATTTCCTTTCTCTTACAGGTACAGCCAGGCAGACGCACTCAAATACGTTGGCATTGAAAGAGAAACTGACATTATCTAACCATAATCATTCCAAGACTCCCAGCCGGCATCACCACATCCTATCCACGCTGCTTCCCTCATTGCTGTGTGTGTTGTGAGACCTTCATTCACCTGGATCTTCAGAGAAGAGGCTCTCCTCTTGCTGCAGCAATGAGACTCTGGCTTCAATGCCCAGCTGGTGGCAGGTGCTGCCACAGAGAAGCTCTGCTAAGTTTTTGCTGGGAGGAAAATTAGGAAGCATTGGAAAGGCAGTGTGGCTCCCCTGCTTAAGCCCACTCTGTGGAGAATCACCTCGGCATTGTGGGATACTGGGCTTTGCATCCTCTATTGTTTTAAGGTGAAGTGATTCTTGTCCTCTGCCTCTCTCCCTCTCCTTTTTTTTTCTGAGAAGAGCAGAGACAGATCCCACCTCCAAGGGAGGATCGTTCATTGAAGTGCTATGCAGAAGCTCTTTGAGGCAAGGAGGTTGTAGCCTGAAATAGAAGGCAGTGTAGAAACACTGGCTATTGAAGGCAGGGGCAGAGTTATTGGCAGAAGGAAGGGAAGGAGTACTTGTGATAGAAGGAATACGCTGAGGTCAGGGATTGAATATGGAGGAGTAGCAAGTAAATGGTAGGGCAGTAGAGGTGAAAGAGCAGGGGACAGGAGCACAAATCCATCTTCCATGGTAATTATGAACCTTTTCCTCTCCCTAAATTGGATTTCCCTTCTTTCTCTCCACACCATTGTGGTAGGATTTCAGAGGCAGGAGGTATGTTCTCTGGGGAGGCAGGGGGAAATCAGATTTGTTTTCAGTTGTAGGGCTCAGAAGTCCCTTCCAGGTGCAGTAAAGTCCCTGCAGAGAATGGTGCTGCTGCTCTGCCACCAAGGTGTCATGATTGCAAAAATGCTGGTTTGCAACACTGCTTTACCTGCTAAGTAAGATTTGCAGAACCAGCTTCTCTTCAGGCAGGACCTTGTTTGATAAGGTTTCCTCCACCTCTGCAGAAGGAAGATTGTTTACCCTCCTATTTACCTGACCACCTTCAGTGGAATCCTGGGTCTCACTTTCGCACTTTCAGTAGGTTATTGAGACTCCTTCTCAGAAGCTTGGGGTAACAGTTCATCTTTGGTCTTGCACTTCCTTTTAAGAATGTTGATTTATTAGCAGTTTTCCTGGTTGAATGCATGAAGGGGAAATCATTGGGTCTGTATAAATTGACAGTCCCTAAGTTAGGAACCCCTTCCCCTAAAAATCAGGATTTCTCTCCCTTCCCCAATCTATGAACAAAGCAAACAGTTGAAATGCACTTTAGAGTAATTCACTCCACCAAGGCTAGGCAGTGGAGACCTGGGCTCCCTGTGGGCTGTAGTGAGTGTGGAAGGTTGTCTCCAGCTCCAGTCCACAATGTGGACTTCTGTAGCAGCTGGATTCTGGGTTCCTTAAAAGCTCCTACAGGAGTTGTTTAACCACAAACCTGTCGTGAAACTTGGTTTATTGCACTCTTGAAGGTATTTGCAGGTGCCAGCAGTAGACATGATATTTGTGTCTAAGTAGGCAAGTCTCTCCCTCCCTCCCCAGTAGGCAGCCGGCATGGCAGCTGCTGGGTCAGGATTGAAGAATGAGAGAATAAAAGGAGAAGACATGCTTCATGGAAATGAGTTTGGTGTAAGTAGTATGCAAAGCTTTGGAGTTATGCAGAACTGTTCACTTGGGTGTCACGGAGAGGTAGCTTACTCTTTGTAACACAAAGAGCAAGATTTGGCCTAGGTAGGAAGATTTCCATTCACTTTTAAGGTAATTGACTGTAAAATCTTTAGTATTCTCCCTCTCCTTTATAAAACACTCCAACGTACAGTAAAATATTTATTGGCCAAAACCCTTATCCTGGTAATCGAGTTAAGGTGTGTCTGGAACATGAAATTTTAGTTAGCGATTCAGAGCATATGTAGAGTGCCTTTATCACTGTACATTTACAATCTGCTGTTTGCCATCTGAAATCAGGGAATGGGCTTCCAGGGGTAAGTATATAATGACAAGGGAACTTCAACTTTTAATCATAGAACTAAGCAGCTCTTCCTTTCACCAATGCTTTGCATTTTTGAACAGTTAAATAGTTCTGGTGGAAGAAACATGAGTATCTTTTATATGCTGCAGCTTACCCACTGAATCGAACAGCAGTAAGACATGCAATACCCATTTCACATTTTTCACTGCTTTTCCTAATATTGGAATTAATATTGGTGTGAGAAATTGGTGCCGTGTTGTCATTAGTTCCTGGTCCACCATTTTTACTGAAAGCCACTAGCTGTGGCCCTGTGCTATTCTTTCTTGTACTAGGTAGTACCCTTTTTCTCTCTTGCCACTGCTAACAGAAAACACTTTCAAGGAACAGTCAAAAAAAGCCAATGAAGTGGCTAACAAAACTGATAGGAGGCAACAGTCTCCTCCTTCAAGCTAAGAATATTAAACTGAAACCTTTGTATATGCTGGGAAATCGAGGGGTAAATCCCACTGTGCTTCCCAACTAGTGTAGGCCCACTGAATCAGTGGGAGTGTAGCATTGGTTCAGTGGATTGAGATGAACAATTGGGTCCAGCTCAAGGTTGGTTTTTAAAATCCTCTGAGGAAGTAACTGCAATAGGGTCATGTAGGAAACTATGCCTATTTCCAGAAGTATTCAGTTAAATACGCTAATAGACTTTGGCTCTGCAATGTTTCTTCTACTTCAGAATTCCAATCTTATGCAAAGGTAACACTGAGTAGGCTTGCTAGTTTTCAGCTACAGAATAGTAATTATCTTAGTGGACTAGTTACAGGTAGCCTTTCCCATCGTGCACACTGCTTAGGGTAAGGTGAAGGGTTTATGGGATAGCAGCTTTCCCAGGGATGCCTGAAGGCTGCAGAATCTGACCAAGCAGTGGCAACAGAGAAGGGTGGAAAGGATTGCTACGACTTGGTTTGGCCAGGGAGTTAATCTGTCACATGGTGCTTTCAGAAAAGAGGCAACCAGTCTTGAAACTGTTGCTAGTTTCAAACAATGCATGTCGAATATTTTGTCTTGAGGCCAGGTCTGCAGCAGTGGGCATTCTAGCTGTTTGTGTATGTTCACAAAGGTACCGTGATCCAGGCATTGTTCTTGCAGCTCATGGGTGTTTTGACCTTGCATCCATAGTGCATTATATTGTCATACAAGCCTGTATTGCTTGACACTTTCGAGGCACAGCATAGAGGAGGGGGGGTATAGCTGCATTTTTAGAAAAAAGCCTGCAGTCCCTTGCCAGACTGGCAGAAGTAGAGCAGGTAGTAAACTGCTGTAAGAATATTTGTGCTTTTTTCCCCTCCCTGAACTTCATGGAATTGCTCTCTCTTAGAATATGAAAACGGGGATCTCCAAAGCCACTTGCTGTCTGGTCCCTCCCTCCTCTGGCTGCTTGTGACTCTGTGCTTTGCTGCTGGTAACTTATGTGCACTTTATATTATGGCTTGTAAAAGTTTGTCTTAATAAAGTTGTGGTGACCTGCTGAATTACGTTTGCCTCTATTCCAGGTTGCTATCAGTACTGGAAAACCATTTGTCTGATTGTAATTGATAATATCCATTTCTTTATAACGGTGGTTGTGGATAGAGGGAGACGTGCATCTATTTAAAGCAGGCAGTGCTGCTGTCGCAGCATGACCATCACCTGTTTCAGACTGTCCTTTGAGGACACCATCCCAGGTTTTCTTCAGGGCTCTCTCCATTTCCTGGAGGGTTGCATCTTATCTCACTCCTGTGAACTATACATACATTGGCACAGCTACAGCAATGGCAGCAAGTGTTTGCTGTTTTGCCTCTCAGTCCAGCATATTGATTCTTTGGATAAAAAAGCAGTGTCACTTTAGAACATGAGCCTTGTCTGCAAAATGAAATTTGATCCATCCTAGCACATTCCCATTGATTGCACAGCATAGCTGGCGCTGTGCGGGTGGCTAGTGAGCCCGAGGGCTGCTTATTGGACTGCCCTTTTTCTGGTCATTTGGAATTGAAATGCTGCTTTGGACAGCAACCCTCTCACACATAAGAGCCCTGCAATAGGAATGTTTCTCTGCCTGTTCTGCTAATCTACTTTCATTTAGCACTCCCTGTTCAGTTGAGAGCAAAGGTGGAACAAGGGCATATTACAAAACAGAACTTAACTGGAAGATCATAAATCCTGTTACTTGCTGCCCCAATAATCCTTATGGGGATTATAGAATATATACTATCGCTTCTCCTTAGGCTGTTGATTCCATCATTAAACTCACCTTCCGTGGTTCACAGAGAAGGGTACAGCTAGTCTTTGGTGTACAAAAATGTTCACTTTCAATCTCCATTTTTGTCCCTGCTACACCTAATGCCAACATCTAAAGAAATGGGATAAAGCTTACAAAATGTCAAGTTAAACGTGTTAAGAATCATTAAGGTGCTGTGTAAGCCTTTGTGTTTTTTGCTGCAATAGAATATGATGGATGTCCTTTTGGACACCTAACACTAAGCAACCAGATACCAAAACCACAGAGCTATCCAGCAGTTACTCCCATTATCTTTGTGCACAGCTAATAAATTTAGCACTTGTTGGTTGAGAACAAGATTCATCCTGTGCCTATCAGAACAAACATTATTTTAAGAAACCCAGCACAGATTCCAACTAGAAGATGTAACGAAGAAAAGAAAAATCAAGCCACATTCCCAGTGGCCTCAAGACGGAGGATCACATCATAGTCTGATCATCCCATCCTTCTCCTTTAATTAATTTATTTATGGTAACCTTCACATTTTGTCCAAACAAACAGCTCTTTAGAAAAAATAAACTGCCCAGGAATAGGCCCAGACTTTCTGGATAAAATAAATGCATTTGGCCCCTGCTACAGTATCTTCTTTTACAATTCACAAGTGAACGTAGCTCTCAAGATAAGGAACAAAGAGAGTTGGAGATTGCCAGGAGCAAAACATCCTTCCCCCTGAAGTAGCAAACTACAGACCACAGACAACACCACTGCACTTTAAAACAGATTATACATCTGCTTTTGTGTTTTTATACAAACTGATAGAATAAAAAAACTAGTTGGTCTAAATAACCCACCGCAAAAACAAAAAAGGTAGAAAGAATTTAAAATTCTCAAAACCCTGATTTACGAAAGCAGCAAGTGGTAGCAAAGTGCGAGTGATTCTTCCATGCGCTACAGCTGCACATATATACTGGCAGGCGAAGGATACCTATATTGCACATTGGTTTCTTTCAGGGCACAATATAACGTGCCACAATCTAAGTAGGCTATATTGCATGGCTTGACTAATGGCTTTTTTTAAAAAAATGCTAAGCAGTTAAGCAGGAAGACTGTGCTAGCAAGTCACCAGTGAGAAGGCCAGCATGGATTTTGCGTTGCATTTTCCCTTGTTTCTAAAAAATAAAAAGAAGAAAGTGCACTATCGACAGTCATGCCTCTTCCGCCAAGAAGAAACCCTGCAACGGGTTTGGAAGAGAGTCCCAACGAACTGGAAAAGAGGGCTGCTTGACACAGCCTGCTGGATGTCACCTCTGCCATCCCCTCTTGCTTGAAAGAAGAAACTACACTGCCCAAACAGAAAAAGGAGTGGTGTGAAAAAGCAGAGTATGGAAGAAGAAACAGCATAATACCCTTGAGTTGGGAGGAAATAACAAGTATTTTGACAGCTGCTCTGGTGCCAACCAACTCCCTTCATGAATGAGAAGCACATCTGGTAGGAAAGAGGTTATATAACAAACAAACAAACAAATAAATAACTTTGGGCCTGATGCCTGCTGGTCGGTATTGGTTCCCACTGGAAGATGCAGCAACACTCCACAGGATGTGCATGTGAGACAAGGCAAAGCACCAGGCAGGCCATCACACTGAGTGGTTGGAGGGATGTGAGGTGGGGAGAAGTCAGCCTCCTAGCAAGTGGCACAGTTGGCAGTTCAGGTTTGGTCTTGGCCAAGAGGCTGCAGCCAGCACCGACAACTAGAGGGTTGACCCTCCCGGCTCCAGTTGACTATTCTGTTTTGGATTCCTCCAGGATCTGTGGCAGATTTTGATCCTTCCGTGAGACTACAGGCTTAGCCGAAGGGGTGGAAGCTGTTCTGCTGCTGCTGCTGCTGCCGCCGCCACCGCCACCCCCACCCCCACTGCTGCTACTCCCGGCGCCGCTGTTGTAGTCCTGGATGGCCTTGGGTTCATTGGTGTGATATGAGCCCTTGTAACGGTGATGGTGCAGGTACATTAAGATGAGGGCAGCCGCCAGGAGCAGAAGTAGGAAAATGACAACTGTAGTGAACGAAAGGAGAGAGATCAAAATGAGTTCAAAAACAATACAGGACAACAGCCTGCCAGCAGTATCTCATGGGGCTGAATTGGACCACCCCACAGGTCTAATTCTCCATGGCTCCCAGTCCTGCTTTTCGGTTGGTACTCACCTCCAATGACGATTGCAACCCAGCCATCATCATGGATGTACAGGAAGTCCACTAGGAAGGCATAAAAGAGATTTGGGCATTCAAAATGAGTTTTTTTTTAGCCCATAAAAAACACTATCCCCAGAATATTTTACTTCCCTCTAGCTACAGCCTCCTGACCAAGACCAAACTTGAAGTCACTTAATTCATGTAGTGCGGAGGCACAGAGCCTGTAGACTAAATTTCTCCAGATTCCTCATTGTTAGTCTTGCTGGCTGAGACTTTTAGGAGCTGAATTTTTTAAAAATCCTGGGGACCAAATGTCTCTCTCCTGTCTTGGATATTATAAGCCTCCTTCCTAAGAAAGCAACAAGTAATCAGGGAGAATAAAGAGTGTAGAGTTCCTGGACCAACTCCCTTTGAGAAGCATTTGGTATGAGATCTACAGTTTTTATTCATGTTTCTTTCCATCCAGCCTTATCCTGGGATATTGTGTGAGTGGTACATGCGGTTTAAGGCCTACTTACATCATTTAGCAGAAGGCATTTGCTCTCAAGACAACTTACTTTCCACTTCAGCTGCTCTCTAAATTGCACTACCCAGGACAGCAAGAGGAGAAGCATGCACAAATGAGCAGAAAATTTAGTTCTGGAAAGTCACACCTAGGAAACTTCTGGCTCCATCAATAAACACTGAGACCTCAATCTGGCCAGCATGACTCTGGATGTACCCCCAGTACAAACTAGTTCCTTGGGAGATCAACTGGCCAACTCTCCTTCACAGAGATTTACTAATGATACGCAACCGACAACCGTGTGGTGAATACCAGACATAGCTGGGCATATCCACTTATACAGCATAGGATTGCACCCATAGAAAGCCAGGAATGTCTTTCTAGGAGTGCAGGCAACCCCCCAAGGGTTGCCCATAGCCAGGATGAATACAGAAAGGAGAAGACTTCATCTCCAAGATCCCAAGAAAGAAGAAAGAGCACTTCTACACAGTTCCTTTGTATCCAAGTAAGCACAGCCATCCCTCGTGGTTGTGGGATTAAAACTTTAGGCAAACCCAAAGCCAAATCTCTTCTCAGCATGTGGAGAAATACCTTTTTTGGGCTACAGCTTCCAGAATTCTGCAGTCAGTAGGTCAGCACCAACGAAGACTAAGAAATTCTGGGACTTATAGTCCAACTTTTTACTATCTCAAGCTCTTCTACTTCCGCCATGTCTGCTTTCCTCCAAATAAAGATGCCTTACCTGGGTCTATGTACCAGGGATCCAGTTCTGGGGGCACTTCAATATAACTGGAAGGCATAGAGGCACAGTTGGACTCTACCAGTCGCCCCTTGATGCTGTAAGGGATGATGGGGTTGCTGCCACTAGGCCGGAAGATGGTTTTCAGAGGCACAATGCTGTTGAATTTCACTCCTGAGAGACAACCAGTGAAACCTGGTGTGTTGTACCTCTGGATTTCAGGGTCAATCATGCCTGTCTCTGTGAACCATGGGAGACAATATGTGCAGAACTGGATTAGGCACATACACATGCTCTTTTCATTTCCCTTTCCTTACCCCACAGCCCACCATCAAGGGATTGCTCCAAAGCAAAAGGAGAGTTTCCTAAGAAGTTTATTATTTTATATTATAAATTTTCTCATGAAGACTATGGTTTAGAAAGACAGTTATGAAAATATATTAAATAAAATAAACCTAGTAAATAGCTATAATAAATACATAAACATCCATGAAACTGAAGATAAAATCTTACTATGCTTTAGAAGCAGAAGTCAAGTTTGACCTAAGAATGTCAGGGAAAAGAGACAGAACTTGGAAGACAGGCAACAGCCAGGAAAATCACTGCTTTCACTCACCCATGAAACGGCCAAGATAAAGTGCCTTGGGGGAATCAAGTTTGCTGTCCACAAAGAGGGAGAACTGATGCACCATGACAGGATAATAATCCAGCTAGAGAGGAAGAAGGAAAAAGGCACTCAGAATCTGATCAAGACCCCAACAGGCACTTGCACCCATTCCTGGTCCACAGCTGTCCTCCGGCAGGCAAAAAACAAAAACAAAAAAATGACTGCTCTTCTTCCCTTCGATCTAGCCAGACTCACAAGGCCCCTCCGTCTTTATTCTATCAAGCCCTCCCAAAACAAACAAAAAAGCCCCAGTCACCTGGGTGTACAAAGTCCGATTCACACGCGTGATGTTGATGCGGTGGGGCTGCCCATCAGCTACTGAGCGTGTGCTCAAGGCCAAGACGTAAGGAAGGGTGCCCAGTTGGTACCGCAGCTGCAGAGTGCCTACAAGGGAAACATAGACAGAAAAGGAGACTGGGTCACCTTCCGCCAACCTAAATTGTGTGCCCCAAAGATGGAAACTCACAAACGGAACAGTGGAATAGCTGATTGATGGCTCCGACCCTGTGAATTAGAACACCACTAGTCCCTCTGTGCATTTACAAAAGTAAGACCCATGTTGGCCCAGATCTTTTTGGTCTACCATTTTGCTTCTGGCGATGCCTGGCCAGATATCCCAGAGGAGCCCACAAGCAGCAGGGTAACAAGAACCAAAATTTCCACAAAGTCAGACCTAATTGATATTTGTGGAAATTTTACTTTGTGCTTGAACTGGCTAATTTCCATTCCAGGCCATCTAGTGGCTATTCTTATATTTCACAACAGTGATTTCCATGATTATTTTAAAAAAATGTAACACTTTCATTAATCTATGCTGAATCTGTTGCCAGTGAATGTCATTTAGTGAAACCAGCTCAGTGGGTTGGACAAAAAAGTTCCCCAAATCACCCAAACAACATGCCCATTGCATGTGTTGGCTGGGGCCTTCCAGGAGTTTTAGTCCCACATAATAAGATTTCCAGCTGTACACCAACTGCTATTCTTTGGAGGAAGAGAGAGGGGGAATGATTTGGTTGATTTTTCTCTATCATACCTAATAATCTGTGATCTTGCAATCAATTATGCAATACCCGGAGCCCCCATGGGGCTTCTGGACCACCTCCTTAGGTGTCTAGGAAGGCTGCCTGCCACACCTAATATGTTTTTAAGCTGGATTATTATCATTACCATCATCACCATCATTATAGTAGCTTAGCTTGGGCAGGTAGAAATCAACAAATCTCCAGTTGTCCCACCCTTCACACCAAGTTGAAGTGGCAAGACTTTCCCATTGGCACCTTCCTCAGATTTCTAAGTTTAGCAGCCATTATTGTGATAAGCCAGGAAAAAAAAATTGGATTTCCTCAAAGCAATATATTGTTGTGAGAAATCCTTGCTTGTTTTTGAATGGATATAGACTCAGGGCCAGGCTATGCAATCTGAGATATCAGATTTACAAGTACAAAATATTTTTATGTCTTGAAGATCAACCCCACCCCCGAATAAAACAAGATGATACACAAACCACAGAAAGTGTGAAAAATATCCAAATGACACCCACGTACATAGTACATGGATCAGCACAGAATAATGCAGTACTAGGGTCCACGCAGACAGGCAGGAAGGGAGGGAGGGAGGGAGGGAGGGAGGAAGGAATGTTTTTGTCCTGCTGTGACTCTGTTGAGTAGTTTTAGTTCTGCACAGACACAGGGATGCAGCGATGGTGTCATGGGTGTAAGGAGAGATGAAGAAATGCTCATTATGGATGGACTCTCTTTACAAAGGCTACTCTGGCAGTGGGAATAAAAAGTAAAAACAATGGTGTAATGAAAAAGGAGGAGGGAAGAAGGAAAGGAATGGAAAAACTATCTATGCTGGACTAAAGACCAGAAGGATCACATGTTCTCAAGAAAGAAGCAAGAACCAGAGGTTAAGGGGAGAAGGCATCTACCTTCAGTCATCTTACCATCATCTCGGATCAAAATGGCCATGTAATCACGCACAAAGGTGCTGACGTAAAGCAGGACAGCAGGGGCTGAGTTGGTGCGAAAGCTGAGTCCCACTTCCTCCCCAGTCAAGTTGTACCCAGGGAGCGGCTGAAGCGGCTGATGGACAATATTGGCAAACTCTCGTACCACATACAAGGGCAGTGTCAAGATGTCATAGCGCACCCAAGTGCCCGGATAAAAGTAGGCACCAATGTCTGCAAAAGGGCAAGGAAACATGGTGACAATTAGTGGGATGGTTAGAGCTCAAGAAAGATGTTATTGTACAATCATTATAGACCACAATCTGAATATAAGCCAATAGTGCGATGTGGCTGCAAAAAAAGGCAAATGCTATTTTAGACTGCATTAACAGAAATAGTCTCCAAATCTCATGAAGTACTAATCCCCTTCTATTTGGCACTTACTAGGCCTCCTCTTAAGCACTGTGTCCAGTTCTGGACACCACGCTGTAAGGATGTGGACAAACTGGAGCAAGTACAGAGGAAGGCAACAAGGATGATCAGGGGACTGGAAATGAAGTCCTATGAGGAAAGATTGAAAGAACTGGGCATATTTAGCCTTGGGAAGATAAAACTGAGGGGAGATATGATAGCACTTTTCAAATACTGTACTTGAAAGGCAGAGGAGGGACAGGATCTGTTCTTGATCATTCCAGAGTGCAGGACACGTAATAATGAGCTCAAGCTATAGGAAACCAGAATTTGATTGAATATAAGGAAAAACTTCCTCACTGTTAGAGCAGTACAACAATGGAAATAATTCTCTCAGGAGGTGTGAGTGCTCCAATGCTGGAAGCATTCCAGAGGAATTTAGACAACCATCCATCTGTCAGATCTTTGGTTTGGATCCCTCCATTGAGCAAGGGGTTGGACTCGATGGCTTAATAAACCCCTTCCAACTCCATTAGTTTATGTTTCTATGATGTTCTACCTCGTCCAGCCTTGCAACACACTCCAAGCTGAAATGTGCAATCCCAGCCCTCCTCCTCTTGAATCTGGCTCCTACCTCGATTGCAAAAGGGTCCTTCATAGGCAGAAACAGAACAGTTGCAAGTGTAGTGGCTATAGTGCTCCAGGCAGATGCCATGGTTCCTGCACGGCACCAAGGGGTTCCGACAATGCCCTGTACAGTTCACTAACACCCCCTCTGTCTCATTGGCCTTCCCCTCCAAGTTGAGGGTCACCCCATTCATGTGCAGACCCCGCAAGCAGCCCAAGAAGGGACGTAGGTAGTATTCAGCAGCACCTAAAAGAAACGGACAGAAATGTTTGCATTCAGGAAAACAGCAGCATTCTTACTGGTCTTAACTTCTCTTTATCCACTTCCTCTATATGATTCTCAGATTTTAAAACTTGCCTTCCCAAGCCAGGCTGGCCAAGCTTTATCTCCCTCAGCAAATAACGATGCAATGTATCTTGTTGTCAAGATACTTTACTCCATCACCTGTGTTACCCTTTTCCATACTTTTTTAAAAATTTTTTGCAATACCTGTTATCAAAAGAGGTGACCAGAAACCCCCAAAGAACTACAAGTGTGGTCATATCAAAGATTGATATAAGAGCAAGAATAATACTGGCTGCTTCATTTTCAGTCTTTTTTCTGATAATCCTGATAACTATCAGGCCAAGTTTAGTACTTACAGCAAAATGCAAACACATTTCAGATTGTCAGTCACTGACAACAGAAGAACCTTTGACCAGGTACTTTACAAACCCAAACTAAAATTTGCTTCCACAGTCTCTCCCTTACACACTCACATGCACTTCAGCCTCTCCTTACTCACCCACATAGAGTGGCTTAGTGAGATTCAGGTGGAGGAAGCTCTGTGGCGGGGCGGCTCGAAACACCCATGGCATCCGGTCAACCCGCAGCCGGGCTATTTTGACGTTGATCCGTGCCTTCACCTCATGCCACTCATTGTCACTGAAGGGCATCTCTGAGTGCACGGTCAGGTTCTCATCACCATTTCCAATGTGGTAATGGAAGACCACATCCCGGGTAGCTAGGAGTCAGGGGAAAAACAGAGAAGTCATGGAACCATTTCATGCTATATTTGCCTGCTGCAACAACTCTAGTGAGGCGTGTGTGTGCCTCTGCTCCTTTGCTTAATCTCCAGCCAGCATGGCTAATGGTCAGGATGTCTGGTAATCAAAGTCCAAAACATCCAGTATACTGTATGAAGGGTTGAAAACTAGTGAGCGAGGTCAACCCTGCCCTGAAAACATGGAGTTAGAACAATCACTTGCCTTTTTTCCACAAGGCACTGTGAGGAGAAATCTATAACAAGAAACGATGAGGCATTTAGGCTTCTATGCTGGTAGCATTCTGCTCCTCTTTAAGGCCACTCAAGAAAGCTAAAGGTTTGCAAATGTCTCATGACTTGACCTCAGCCAAAGGTGAAAAGGAATGGAGATTAACTAACATCGATTTCTTTTAAAATCACACAAATGTTAGTCCTCACTCTTGTTAATGTTTTAAACAGTGGTGCCAGTCATAATCCATTAGGATTGCATCAGTTATAAATATAATAACTAACGAAGTCTGTTATGTTGCTGCACCCCGATAAACCCCAAATTCCATACTGTTAAGCTCCAGACGGATGAAGTTCTTTGGGCCCACATTCTCCAGAAAAGTGCCTGATGGGGCGGACGTCTTGAAGAAGAAGCTGATATCAAGACTGTAGTTAACTTGGAAGGTAGGAAAGAGCAAGGCTGTTCCCCTGATGAAGGAGACTGTATTCCAGGAGTTGCCTGAAAGTCAAAAGAAAGCCCTCAGAAGAGTGCTTGCGCCCAATAAATCCATATCCCATCATACTTCAAGAAATCCCATTCTATTCTAGCAAGCCCATAGGGGAACAGCAGCCATATCTCCTCCCCACCCTGCCCACTACTCACGATCTCCATAGCAACGCAATGGGCCCACGTAGAACTGGGCCTCTGACCCAGTACGGTTTGTGTCGCTCACCACGACCTGTGTGACTGGAAGATGGTCTACAAAATTCAGCAGCCCTTTATCTGCCCGCCTGGAACACAGAAGGGAGACTGTGGGAAACTTGCTGGGGACAGCCAGAATTCCATCCCCGCACATGCAATACCAATCAGGCCCTCCTTGGAAGGGGGGGAGGGGGGATCATTTCTCACCACATGGCATGGTCAGCATCACAGTTGCAATAGAAACGGGGGTCAGCACAGCTCTTCTCCATGCCACAAGCACAGCGCCCCAGCCCTGGTGGAGAACCCCCCCAGTAATAATGGCGCTCAGCATTTCGACCCATCCAGAAGCTCAGTGGCATCCCAGCTAGGGGGAAATAAGACAGCATGCAAAATCATGCCTCACACACTAAATTTCATCAGAGCATATAAAAACAATCTGCAAAGGGCATCCTAGTCCAACATACCATCTCTCACAAATAGTGAGACATTTCTCTCTGTCTCTGTCTCTGTCTCTGTCTCTGACTCTGTCTCTCTCCATCCATCCATCCATCCATCCATCCATCCATCCATCCATCCATCCATCCATCCATCCATCCATCCATCCATCCATCCATCCATCCATCCATCCATCCACCATCCATCCATCCGACTTTTATGCCGTCCATATGGCTGCCAAGATCACTCTGGGCAGTTTACAACATAATAAACAGCAATTTAAAAAACAGTAAACATATTAGCTATAAAATCAAAATTAAACACATACACAAATCAACATAAAATTAACTGAAAATAGTTTAAGGTGATTCAAAGGCAAGGTGGAAAACAAACACTGAAACAACGACTATGTTACAATGTTATAAAGATCCAAGAAAGCCTGTCTGAAAAGCCATGTTTTCAGTGACCATTTTAAAATTCCCAGTGAAGGGGGACAGGTGAATTTCGGGTAGGAGATTATTCCAAAGATGGAGAGTGACCACCGAGAAGGCCTGGTTTTTGGCCTTCTGTTTCCAGACCCCTTACAGGATGAATATTCTCAACCGCCCAGCCTGGGAAGTTTGTGTAGAACAGGCAGATCTCATTGGAACAAGGCGTTCTGTCAGGTATCGAGGTCCCAAATCTGTCAGGTTTCGAGGTCCCAAACCATTTAGGGCTTGCATGTCAGCATCATCACCTCGAAGCTGACACAGAAACAAACAGGTAACCAGCACAGGGCAGCCAGAGTAGAGGAGATATTATGGCATTTCTTCGCACTGCTCAATAGTCTGGCTGGCATATTCTGGACTTTTTGAAGTTTCTGCAGCAGCCTCATGGACCACCCCAGAAAATTTCGAGGTCCCAAACCATTTAGGGCTTGCATGTCAGCATCATCACCTCGAAGCTGACACAGAAACAAACAGGTAACCAGCACAGGGCAGCCAGAGTAGAGGAGATATTATGGCATTTCTTCGCACTGCTCAATAGTCTGGCTGGCATATTCTGGACTTTTTGAAGTTTCTGCAGCAGCCTCATGGACCACCCCAGAAAAAGAACACTGCAGTAGACTAATCTCAAGACTACCAATGCCTGGGCCAGCGTGGTGAAAGACCCTGTGTCAAAGTAGGGATGCAACTGGGCTATCCGTCTCAGGTGGAGACAGGCAAAGCGGACCACAGACACTGTCTGGGACTCCAGATTGATAGCGCTGGGTCTTGAAGTATGCCCAGGCTGCAAACCTCATTCTTAGCAGAGAGAGTCTTCCTCCCCCCAAAGGAGAGGGAGGCTCACAAACTGCAGACACTAGGGGCACCCACCCTCAGGACTTCCATCTTGTCTGGGTTCAGCCTCAGTCTACTATCTCTCATCCACCCCAGCACAGCGTCCAGGAGGTGTTCAAGGAATGGGATGGCATTCTTTGCAGAAGGATGGAAAGAGAGTTAGAGCTGGGTGTCATCCGCATATTGGTGACATGAAGCTCCAAAACACCTGATGACGTCCCCCAGAGGCCTCATATAAATATTAAACATCATAGGTAAAGGTAAAGATTCCCCTTGACAATTTGTCCAGTCATGTTCGACTCTAGGGGGCGGTGCTCATCCCTGTTTCCAAGCCATAGAGCCAGCGTTTGTCCGAAGACAATCTTCCGTGGTCACATGGCCAGTGCGACTTAAACACAGAATGCCGTTTTACCTTCCCACCGAGGTGGTTACTATTTATCTACTCGCATTTGCTTGCTTTCAAACCGCTAGGTTGGCGAGGAGCTGGGACAAGGGACGGGCGCTCACTCCGTCACGTGGATTCGATCTTACAGCGGCAGATCTATAGACCTTACAGCACAGAGGCTTCTGCGGTTTAACCCACAGTACCACCACGTTCCTCTATTAAACATCATAGGGGAGATGATTAACCCATGTGGGACTCCACAATTAAGAGTCCAAGGGGTGGACATCATCTCGCCAAGATGCACTCTCTGAGGACGGTCCTCTGGGAAGGACCGGAGCTAGGCCAAAGCCAGGCCACTGATCCCCAACCCAGAGAACCTCCCCAGGAGGACACCATGGTCTATGGTATCAAAGGCCACTGAGAGACTGAGAAGGACCAGCAAGGACATTTTGCCCCTGTCAATCTCCCTCAAAAGGTCATCTTCCAGGGCGACCAATGCTGTCTTCTAGCCATGACATGGCCTCAACCTGGACTGGAATGGATCGAGGGCATTGGTCTCCTCCAGGAGTGCCTGTAGCCGGTTGGCCACCACCCCCTCCACTAGCTTGCTTAGAAAAAGCACATTCGGGATGGGTCTATAGCTGGTAATATTGTCCGCTGGGAAATTAGTTTTTTTATGAATGGGCCTTAAGGCGTGTCTCCTTGAGGGCTCAGGGGACCCTGCCCTCAAGGAGGGACCCATTCCATTGTTCCTGGCCTGGCAGCTTGCTACAAGTTTCTACAAGCAAACTGTGAAATAAATGACCTTACTCATTATTGCTGGCCCCCAATTAGGATTCATCACATTTCTAAGCTGAGGAAAGTTGCTAAGTGGCATTGGCCTTCAAGGCATATGTGCACAAGAAAACCCACATTCCCCCATATAAACTCACTCTGGGTGTTGAGCAGGCGGGAGAAATAACAGTAGAACTCAATTTGCTGTTCGCAGTATTCGGAGGCATTGGCCAGGGCTGACACCTCTCCCCATGATGCATTCCAGTAGTCAACTGTGCCCAGGAAAGGGTTTTCAGGACTGTAGCCTGTCACTTTGGTGAGCCAGTGCCGGTTGTGTCGAACGATGGTCCAAGCTCGATCCTCTGGCAAGTAAAGAAGGAAAAACATTTAACTAGTGTCCATGCTTCTCCGTATAAAAGGTTCTGGGTACAAACTCTCTCCGTTACACAGATACACAGGCTAGCTGAGGGGTAGAATAATCTTTCCCCAGTTATTCTTCAGAATCAACTCCTAGCTTAGGAGATGGCTTGCTAAAGCCACAAGTAGGGTTCCAGGTAGACCTGAATGCAGAGCTTGAAAATCTCCTGGACTGCCATTCCCAGAATCCTCCAGTGGTCATGCTGGCTGAAGGATTCTGGGAACTGGAGTCCAGGCAAGTCACCTTCCTAAGCTCTGCAGAAGCACGAGCAAACTTTTGAATGCACTTTGAAAGAAGAAGGGCATTTCCCCATACCTCGAATGTCACAGTAGACATTAAAAGGCTTCAGGGGTCCACTGCCATCAGGATCAATGGTGTAGTTGCCAGACGTTTTGCCCATGAGTCGATAGGCATCACAGGTTTCTTTGTAAATGGCTGCAGGATGAAGGAGGAAGTGAGGATGTGACGCCCCCAGGCTCACACTGTCAGCCCTCCCCTCCCCAGGCCCATGGCTCACGAGTGTGGCAGGTCTCCCCCTTGTAACCCGTCAAGTCACAGATGCACGTGAAGTCGTCCCAGGACTGGATGCAGCGACTGTCATGTTCACACATGTTCGGCGTACACCTGGCACAACAGGAAATGAAGGTTTATTCTGGAGACAGGGATCCCGCCTCCCTGCATGGATTCAAAAGCCTTTTAAAAACAAGTGGATTCACCTCTTCATCTGTGGGCAATGCCCATGGTGGCACATATTAATGGCATCTCACACATGCAAACCCTCTAGAGGATGTTACACTGCAATTTCCAACTTTCCTTAACAAAGGCTATGATGATTAAGGGTGATGGGGGTTACACTCCAACAATTTGAGGCTCACCCTGTGAACTGGAGGATAAGACAAGAAAAGAGAGAGAGTGAGCCATTCCCTCATACTTCTATAGAGGAGGAAAAAGATAGAGAGGAGAGAGATAGAGAGGTAGTGAAAGTTGTGGAAAGGGTGAAAGAGCTGAAGGCGGGGAAAAGAGGGAGGAGTTAGAAAAGACAGGCAGAAAGGGGTAGATGTTTTCTTGACAATGGAGTAGGAGGAGAAATCAGGGGAAACAAGAAAGGTGGTAGTTTTAGAAGATGAATGGCAGGAAGAAGAAAGAGGACCAAAAGTGTTTCAAGATACCTCAGAAGGGAGCAAGAAGAGATGGAAGTCGCAAGAACAAAGAATCAGACATAAAAGGGAGTGAAGTGAAATTGCCAATAGAAGGATTAGGACCCAAAGAATGGATGGTACTGGTATACTCTCGAGGACAGGGTCTATGGAGGAAGGTAATCTGGCCAGGACCTCTCCAACCGAATGAAGTCAACCAAGGGAAACTGGTCTCGTCATCCCTGTTGCGGGACGATATGTGCTGTGAAAAGTGGCTGTTTGAGAAAGCCGACAGACCAGGAATGAGATTCAGACATGCTCCCCGCTGAAGAAAGAAAGTTATGAGGAGACTTTACCATTGTTATGGACAGATTTTCCTGTTGGTGTTGGACATGTTGATCCCATAGAGGTTGTTGTTGAGAGACCTAAGAGCTCTATTAATAGTTTATTGTGAAAGAACCCTCTCTCTTGTCGTTTTCTGCCAAAACTAAGGAACTGTCAGACTCTGACAAGGAACCTGATCAAACACACCAGATCTAATCCGTAGCACTTCTATGCTCACCTCCACTCTAATCCATAGTATTTTTGATAACATTAAAAGGCTCAGACACCCTCCACATGGAGGGCATGATCACACTAGCCATGGCTAGCTAGGAATCCCCAGCATCTACTAATACGAGCTCTAAAGGTGTTTTAGCACAATATACCCCTGTTCTCTGCAATATCCAGCCATGTCCAGGATACTCAAGTATTACATTTTTGTAAATTTTAAGATGTGAAAAGATGACTGGTACAAGTTTGAGTTATGTATGATATTAACAATGGACTGTATTACCTTTTTCTTGGAAGAGTCAGAAAGGTGATAACTCCCAAAGAAATCAATCAGATTAGCTAGTCTTGATTTACATAGTATGCTTTATTCTCCAACAGATGGATGTACATTATGACATAATGACTGTTCCAGAAAGGGAACAAGGGAGAAGGGTGACTGGTTGTCTCAGAAGGTTTTTTTTAATGGATTATTGTGCCTTGTTGCTTTTAAATGTGTTTTTAATATTGACTTTGTTTACCATTTTAAATATAGTTATTTAAGTCTTTTAAAGTATTTACACACTTACTTATTTTAGCTTTTAAATACTGCCTTTTAATTATGTAAGCCACCTTGGGTCCTTTTTAAGGAGAAAATTATTTTTTTTAAAAAAATAAGGCTGCAACACAATACTGAAAACTGAAGAGCAAAGGACTTGATAAAACTTGAACCTTTTCTGAAACTTTAACTACAGATCCTTTCTCTTTCCACTCTAAACTCTGATATTTTCATCATTCTTTACATTAAATATATTTTGTTTCTGCCTTTTTTTTCAAAGGTAAGTTACATTTTTATTAACTTTCTGTGGTATTTTATTAATAATCTATTACAAAGTTTTACATTTTAATTGAAATCAAGAATTAAATTTGAATGTTTTGCTGAAAAGGGTTTGGCTGATGGTAGAAGAGAAATGGGAAGGCATGAGGATTTCTTGAAAATCAAAAGGGTATCTGGGTGATGCTGAAAAATAGCTGGTGATCCAGCCATTACCTCAAATTCATAGTCTTTCATAGCTGGAGCTATGAAAGTCTTCCAGTTTCGACAACTCTTCTGAGATAATTATGGCACTTCCTTTTTTAAAAAATGTGATATATCTTGACTCTTCTGAAAACAAGATTTAACTGAGTTTGTGCAGAATTATCAAGGCAAACATGAGTTAGGTGAGGATGGAAATGGCATGGTTTACTTCTGTCGGATTCATCTGGATATTTTATGGCTTCTCCTGTAGCGTATACGCTGGTAACCACAACCCTTTTGCATATTGCAGTACAGTATACATGTTAACATCTACTATAGTGGACAAGCATCAAAGCTCTTCCATGATCCATCAGCAATCTCCTACACAGGATGTGGTTGCCTGCAGATTCTATCCCAGGATGTGGGTGGTTTCAGATTCCTCAACACATTTAGCTTCTGTCTCGAGATATGCCAAGCAGATATTAAATCCACCAAATAGCATGGAAAACCTGCCATGCTGTTTGTTTGCTTCCAATGTTTGCTTTTGCTATTTCAGGGACTTTTTCCCTCATTGTTTCTGTTACAACCCACGGAGACATGAAAGACCAGTTGATCTGTGGAACATACAGGATTTCTTGCTCACGATCTTGTAATTTGAGCCTATCCACCCTGAAACTTCCTCTGTCTTCAGCATCAGTAGAATCAACCAATATAATGCCAAGCACAATGTACAGTAGTCATAATTATTATCTAGAAATGTCAGTCTTTTGCCATCATCAAGCACTACAAATGTACTACTTGATTATTTTGGAGTGCTCCCAGTTTGAAAGTATGCAATCACCCTGAGTTATTCACAGAATTTTACCAAGGTGGGGGCAGACAATATTGGTTTGTATTTATAACTCTCCTCTTGCTCTTCCTTTCTGTGGTCTTTCTCAACACACTCACTCAGTCACTCACTCAGTCACTCTCTCTCTCTCTCTCTCTCTCTCTCTCTGTCTCTCTCTCTCTCTCTCTCTCTCTCTCTCACACACACACACACACACACACACACAAATATGGGAGAAAAGATGGAATAGCCACACAACAGCCAAAATCCTGTTCCTTGGAGTAATAAATTGTTCTAGAGTAAGACCATTGACTGAATGGGGATTTAGTGAGCCATTCCATTGATTCAAATGGGCCTATTCTAACTTCAGCTTACATTGTCATAGTAAGTCACAATTAGAATAGGCCAATTTTAATCAATGGAACTTATGGAGGAGTTGGATCACCAAATCTCCATTTATTCAATAGGCCTACTCTAGTGCAGATTACTACACCAAGCAATAGGGTTTTGGCCACTGTCTTTTGATTGGCAGTGCTAGAAGTCTCCCATCTAAAGCCTCTTCCTGTATAGCTGCTCTTCCAAACCAGAAGCTACAAGAGGCCTTTTCTTCTTTTGCATTAAGTTCCAGCTACTTCCTTTTTGAAAGTTTTCCGTGCAGTATTTTTTAAAAAGACATCAGCTGGGTCATGAAGACCTATTCTTCATCAACAGCCATATGCATCACATACCAAGAAACTCATGTAATTAATTATGAAGTTCCTTCCAAGGTGCCCACTGCTCATTAAGTGATACCAATGTAGACTGAGTGCTTCAGCACACTGATAGATGACAGCATGCTCAAAATGACTAAAATAATCACTGCCCTTCCTGTCACCGCTAATACCTGTCACCATTGTAACAGCAAAGGGGAGATGTTCTGATCCACTGCAGCACATACATTATGGGAAAACAACATTGTGCTCAAGCCACCACCAGTTAACATTATCACCTGTTGACAGAAAGGTTGCTAATGGTCTCTGTGGGTCTCTGACTGGTAACTCTTGATGAAACTGCTGGCTCCTGAGCCTCCAACACTTCTGTCAAAACATTTCTAGAGCACCAATATCAATACTACTTATGCATTATTTAATTCAGTGCAGTGGGAATTGTTATGTCTCCACCTATAAGAAATTGTCTGATTGATACTAGACCCATATAAGTCACCAAAATTCTATTAGTAATACCTACTGGCATTATTCTATCAGCCTAACTGTTGACAATGAACTGCTGCGAGTTAAGGAGCAGGCACTGTTGTTGCATGACAGTTATGTGACTAAGCTTGCAACAGAAAATGTCAATGCCGATATCTAACTTGCAGCAATTCACAGCTGAAATTTGCTGGTGGAGTCACACTGGTGTAATTTTCACCTGGATCCCAGATATTATATTTTAAGATACAAGGAGGTGTTGTCCACCATATTTCAGCAACCACCTTCATTGTGTTAATTATGATATCCGAAACATAACAAAATCACACAGAATACCTCTGCGGCGGAAACAAGGTTACAAAAACTTTTTTAAAACAATTTTGATCTTGGGGGCCAGATTTATCGTATTTTTCCATGTATAAAATGACATGTAGTGGAAAAAATTGAGGGTAATTTTATACATGGTAGTAAGGAGGGGGGAAGAGGGACGTGGTGGCGCTGTGGGCTAAATCGCAGAAGCCTGTGCTGCAGGGTCAGAAGATCCGGCAGTCGTAAGATCGAATCCACGCAACGGAATGAGCACCCGTCGCTTGTCCCAGCTCCCGCCAACCTAGCGGTTCGAAAGCATGCAAATGCGAGTAGATCAATAGGGACCATCTCGGTGGGAAGGTAAACAGCGTTCCGTGTCTAAATCACACTGGCCATGTGACCACGGAAAGATTGTCTTCGGACAAAACGCTGGCTCTATGGCTTGAAGAGCGGGATGAGTGCCGCCCCCTAGAGTCGGACACGACTGGACAAAAATTGTCAAGGGGAACCTTTACCTTTACTTTAAGGAGGGGGGAGGGATCAAAGTGCTTTGATCCCTGCTTTCCCCCTCCACTTTCTTGCAAAGAAGATGCTTCCCCCCCCACTTCCTTTGCAAAAAGTAGAGGGGGGAAGCAGCTTTTTGCAAAGAAACTGGAGGAGGAAAGCAGGAATCAAAGTGCTTTGATCCCTGCCTTCCCCCTCCACTTTCTTGCAAAGAAAGAAATTTTGGGTTAGAAAAGTGGGGGGCGTCTTATACATGAAAAAATATGGTAGGTGCCAGGAGGCTCCACGTGGCTGAACTTTGCCCACTTGCCTTAAAAGTAGGGCTAGGCCCCTATCAATCCCACAACCCTCCGCAGTTGGAACTGGCATTCTCATAAACATACCTATCAGTAACACCACACACATTGAAGTACACCTCAAAATATCTGCCAAGCCGATGCTGGCGAACCAAGTCTAACTCAATCGGCTGCCGATCTACAGTGACCATCTGCATGCATCCATGGAAGGCTGTTTGGTTGGAGGCACAGCCAGTACGTGCTGCTGGCTTGGGGCATCCTAGGGGGAAAAAAACAGCTCTTTAAGGTATGAAGGAAAAAGAAGAGGCAGAGAAAGAAGGAAGAGATACAGTGGTTACAGTTCATGAATTTGATCCAGATTTGTTTTAATGGACTAGGCCCATTAAAACCAAAGGGACTTCAGTTAATCATGATTAACATAAATATTATTGATATCAATAGTTCACTCTAAGCATGTCTAAGTGCACATCCAACTAGATTGTCCTGAAAAGCAAGTGATATCATCTGTCAAAATTACAATCTGAGACTTTCCACTAGTGGAAACCTTACACAGTATGTTGGCCTGTGCCAATGATCTCTCCAGGATAGTAGCCGAAGGAGGATACTAATCTGGCAAGGTCAATTTCAGAACTCGATGGTCATGAACAGGAAAGCAATCCATTGCAAAAAAGCCAAAAGAGCCTACAACCAAGGCCTAAACATGTGAACTCAAAAAGTTATAAAGTACAGAAATCAGATCTTAGAGCCAACAAGATCAGAAGAACAGTCCAAAAGGAAATGGACTCTTCTGAAGGAGAGGTGAAGTGTCTTATTGCCAATGTTCAAGAAGTAAGAGCTACTGATGGAGAAGCTCTTGACAAGGGAGTGTTGCCTTAAAGGAACATCAAGGAACCTCCTTTAGGCTAGACTACACTGAAAGATAAACTGAGGCTCTAAAGAACCACAGCTGATGTTCCAACCTCTTGTTTTCATAGCGGTCTTGAAACCAAATGGAAATAAAAAGAATGAAGTTTTCTGGATAGACTGTCTTCATTCAACATGGACAGATCTTCAGCGGACTCTCTTAAACAATAAGAGAAAAATATCAGAGCTGTGTACTGGTTTTCTGTCAATGGTCAAACTTCCTGGCTTCTATTTCCCACCCACTCCCCCTGAGCACCACCATCAAAGTGTTGCCTCAAATACAGTGGACCCTCGACTTACAGGCGGCTCCACTTACAGACTTTTTGAGTTACAGACTCCTCTGGCCGCAAAATTAGGTTCGACTTGCAGCCGGAGAATTGACCTACAGACCGGGAAAAAAACCAAAATGGAATAAAAACGGCCGGTTATGGATTAACCGGTTTTCAATGCATTGTAGGTCAATGGAGACTCAACCTACAGACTTTTCGACCTGCAGCCACCGTTCCAATAAAGATTAATTCCGTAAATCGAGTGTCCACTGTAAACAGCATTTGTAGGAGCTATTTATTCCAGCAGCCAGAAGACATTAATTTTCAGTAACGAAAATGTGTGAGTCCAGATTAGAAGCCATCTGGATTTGGACCCTGCTGCTGCTTTTTCATCAAAATAAAAACAGCCAGATTAAGTATATCTGCTTAAGCATGTGGTTAATGGAATATTTCGTTTGCTGTACTGTTTGCCTATAGATATATTTAAAAATACTTCAGAGGTGACAATGCGGGTTAACTGTGCCCTTTAGTTGTACACTCCTATTAATCCCACAGTCCTCCTTTCCAACATATTAAGATTTAAGTAAACTTCGATCATAAGCCTTCAAATTTAACTTCTATAAATACAAATGGCTGGTATCTGGTTATTTATTTAAAAGGTGATTCTGAGAACTCAAAACCAGATGTCATACCATGTTTGACAGTTACAGAGTTGCAGCAAACACACAACCCTGTTGTTTATGCCTGAAATCCTGTCCCCAACCCATCTTCAGCTTCTCAAATGTCTCTTTCTTTCCCTTTACTGAAAACCGAAACTTCTACAAAGTCTTCCGTTGACTGACAGAGATTGCTGCTACCTATAAGCTGAAAGAACTGGGCAAGGCTGAAAGAATTAGGCATGTTTAGCCTTGAGAAAAGAAGGCTGAGGGGTGATATGATAGCACTTTTCAAATATTTGGAAGGCTGTCATTCAGAGGAGAGACAAGATCCGTTCTCGATCATCTCAGAATGCAGAACACAGAACAATGGGCTCAAGTTAAAGGAAGCCAGATTTTGGTTGAATACCAGGAAAAACGTCCTCACTGTTAGAGCAGTACGACAGTGGAACCAGTTACCTCGGGGGGGTGGTGGTGGAGGCATTTGAGAAAAACTTGGATAATCACCCGACAGATATGCTTTGATGGTATTCCTGCACTGAGTAGGGGCTGGACTTGATGGCCTTGTAGGCCTCTTCCAATTTCACTTTTCTATGATCCTATGATTCTATATAACAAAAACAAAACAAAAGTCTTGTGGTACCTTTATACCAAATGTATTTTAGTGTGAGCTTTCCTGAATTACAATTCATTTCCTTGATGTCTGAAGGAGTGGAGTGTAAACCGCAGAAGCTCACACTAAAATAAATTTCCTGATTGTAAAAATGCCCCATGACTTCAGGGTTTTGCTATGGCTGCAGTGATGCACGCTTAGACAGACTAATCCTGTTGTCTCTTTGAACGTTGCTGCTGTTTGGTTGCTACTCCAAGCCAGGTCCCCAGAAAGCCTCATGCTTACCTCCAAAGAAATACTGGTTCCCTGTGCGCAGCTGAATATCTCGGTCAACACGGAAGCTGGCATCATTCTGGTCATCGATGGTGATGACAGCCGAAGTTTCACGCACCATCAAGGACACTGAATGCCAGAAGCCATCATTGAGACGGTATCCTGGTGCAAAGGGTGAAGGGAAGCAAGAAATTCATCATGTGATCTCACTAACAGTAAACAACTTGTTTACTGACTGCCCTCACCTTCACTTTAAAGCCACAGATCTCTAGAATCACTAAATGCCCTGGCAAACCATCAGTCCCCTGAGCTTGCTGCCAGTCATGATCAATAATATTATGAATACTAAAGAGGGGTATGTTGAAAAGACAGCTAGAATACATTTTGCCTTTAGTCTCCGGAGGTCATTCACAGGAGTTTTATCCCCAACCAAGATACTCAAAATAATAATTTTTTAAAAAAATAATAATCAGATGTACTTAGAAAGATATTCTGTGTACTACATCCAGATCAACTTAATTCTACATGGGAGAAGGCTGCCATTTGAAGGAAGATTGATTCTTACTGTGAGCAACATAACCCTAGAAAAATTTGTTCTGTTGATCTGATGCACTTAAAATGTCTATCAGAATACAGTACGTGCAGAAACACACATAATGTTCTTGTAATTCAGATGCTATCTTGAATCATTTACTGTAGAAATAAGCAAAGATATGGGCAGACTTTTCTACAGGTCTCTAATGTTGATGTTTTTTCTCCCAGTACAACTTTAAATCCACTGCAGATGGCAGCTGTAAGAGCAAGTAAACACCAGACCTGCAAATCAACACTGCAGCTCAACAAACTTGCATATCACCAACTTTGCCAATCCACTAAGATATGGTGATAACCTCTCACTGCTTTGGCAAAGGCAAAGACACACTCTGAAGATTATCAATCTTCTCATACTCAAATAATAAATACCAATATCTGCTGTACAAGACATAATCACTGATGATGATATATCTCTTCACTTGGCACTCTACAAAAAGTCACTCAAGATCAGATCAAAGCTCCTAGTCATGTTGGTCAAAATACTGTTCTGAGTATTTAAAAAAATACAGGCTATTCTTACAGCTACTTTGAAGTTCTCCCTATGTTTTTCCATATGTTTAAGTGTGCTATTAAACATGTTTTTCCTACTAATGACAGCAAACCTTGGCTTCAGGCCTGTAGCAGTATAACAAAGAGAATTCTGCATTTTTGCCTAGACCATGGTTTCAATCCAGATACAATTTTTAAAATAACTGAGATTTTAAAAATAATCAAGTCATTGCTGACTGCATGCTGTCACATAAAGCATGTGTCTGGCCCCAAAAAGATGGACCAGTCAACGTCTTCTCCTAGAAAGAGACCTTTGGGGGGAGAGTTTCCCATTATGCTTATACCAGTTTAGCTTTCCTCTTTAAAATGATACACAAATTCCTTCTTCTTCCAGTCCCCAAAGAGAACTATGTTAATGGGGAGAGTTCGCCTTTTCTTCCATGGAGCCAGAGACAGAAATGTATTTGTTCCCTTCTTCAAAACATGGGTCAGAGCTTTCATTTTCTTGCCGGATCATTGGGTTACTGAGTTATGAGGACAATCCTGGCTCTTTTCTTCATAGTGAAGATCTAAGAATAGAATTCTATTCAAAGCAAGCATGTTTTTTATAGTGTACTGTCATCCTTCAATATGTTCTTTGAAGAGGAAAAACATGTCCTCTACCACTAACAAAACAAAGAGGCACAGAACAACCCATTGCCTCAGATTCTCTTTTACTAAGCTAACTAAGTGGGGGAGAGATGCCACCTTGTTTCCAAAAATAACCCTAATCCCCATCTCGGATATTACACAGTTAGGGACTGGATCAACCTTGCTTCACATCCAGTTCTCAGTTTTGGAAGTATTGACCATGAATCCTCCATATGAAAGCCAACTACCAGACAAGCATGTCTACTTAGGCGTCTAAATCTGAATGTCTTAAATTGTAATCCTGTGAACTGTCCAGATTAGTGCTTGCACTAAGAGGGTGGTATATAAACTGAATTCCCAGTGTGGCATAGTGCAGTGGTTCTTAACCTTGTGTTACTCAGGTGTTTTTGAACTGCAGCTCCCAGAAACCCCAGCCAGCACAGTTGGTGGTGAAGGCTTCTGGGAGTTGCAGTCCAAAAACATCTGAGTAACCCAAGGTTAAGAACCACTGGCATAGTGGATAGATTAGGACCCTGGAGAACAGGGTTTGAATCCCCATTCAGTCATGGGAATTTACTGGGGGAGTGGAACTGGTAAAGCTACTTCTTAAATATCTCACTTACCTTGAAAACCCTGTTAGGGTCACTATAAGTCAGTTCTGACTTGACAGCACATCATCAACAACATATAAATTGAACACATAAATAAATATCTGAAAAATGAAACTGGGGACATCACTGTCTTGCAGCTGATTGGCAGGGATGAGCCTTCAGCTTCATTATTAGCTTCCAGTGGGAACCAGCAGAACATGGCATAACACATAAAGAACCCACTAGAGTATTTTAAATATCAAGGGAAAATGACTTTTAAGTTTTACTTTTAACTCAGCAAGGTCCATACTCTTTCTTTTTGTGATGTAACAAACAGCAAGTTATAACTTGCTGTTTCATTAGTCTTCTGCAATTGTCTGTGATCTAACACTGGAGGTAAAAGCTATTTAGAGCTTGGGAAGATTTTGTGTGAAACAGAAACTCAGATGTACAGATGGGCAAAGTTCTGTACAGAACTGGATTTCTGGTACAGCCGGCCTTTCCTTTCTTTAAAAGGAAATGATTAGGGATGAGAGCCCATCTCTTTATATAA